GTCAGACGGAACGTGCCAATCGTGTCCTTGAAGAGATACTTCGAGGATACGTACACTCCTTTAAGAGTTGGAGTGAGTTTTTTGCCGATGGTAGAGTTTGCCATCAACAACTCGGTGCATGCGTCCACGACACATACACCGTTTTACGTGAATGGCTTGCGCCATCCGCGTGTACCCACCTTACTAGAGTGTAACTCTGGTTTAAGGGGGGAGGGACTCGCGCGAGCAAAAACCGATTTGGTTCACGCTCATCACGCTCTGACGAAGAAGTCATTGCGTTTGATGCCGATATCGATAACATCGATATCGAAGAAGATGATGCCAGTGAGAGTGCGGGAAGCCCTCACTGAAGACAATGATCCCAGTGAGAGTGCGGAAGCCCTCACTGAAGAAAAGGTTGTTGTCGCTGCAGTGCGCTCACAGCACACTGAAGCTAACGAGTCATCAGATGAGTTCATACTGGCTCGTGAAACGGTAGTCCGTTTTGTGCAAGACTCCATCGCCGAAGCGGTGGATAAGCAAAAGCAAAACGCTGACAAGAATGGAAGGGCAAACACTCTTTTATTTAATAAAGGTGACTTAGTCCTACTGTCTACGGTTAATCTACCAAAACATGTAGTGACTAACTTGGGTAGCAGTAAACTACTACCCAAGTACATTGGCCCATTTCGTGTATTGCACCGCCTAGGCAATGCATACACGATCGAGTTACCACGTAAGATGCGAACGCATCCCACGTTTTACGTTGGTCGGCTTAAGCCGTACCATCAGTACGCTGCTTCTTCCGATGAAGAACGCCCTTGCGCTCAAGCATCTCGCAGAGAGCCTTGTGCTCCCGATGGTGGGCATCAACAAGGGTCTGAAGAGCAGTTATCTCAGCCCGAGACCGATCAACAATCCCACGAGCTACCCTTAGCTCGTCACGAAGAGATGTCAGAGATCTCTCGTTCTCAAGCTGAGCAAAGGCAAACTCAGCTCGATGCTTCGAGGCAGTGTCCACCATCTGGAGACGCCTATTCCGCTCATGCTCGAGATCGTCGCGTAACCCTTGCGTTACGCGATCAAAAGCTCTCGGGAACACACCGATCCACATGATCGTGTGGAGAGCGTCTTTCCTCCTCCTCCACCTCCATTAGAGGACTCTCGCGGTGGCCAGCGCTATCTAGTAGAGCAGCTGTTGAACCACCGCGACGTGAACGGACGTCGGACGAGTTACCTCGTCCGGTGGCGCCAACTATCCCCCGTCCTGGGATTCTTGGGAGCCCCGCTCCCAATTGATGGTTGACGTACTGGGTCTGGTCGAGCAGTACGACGCGACACATCCTGTGCCGCAGAAGGACCGCCGGAGAAAGTCTTCCCGGCACGGTCGTAAAGGGATTTCAGGTTGTCAATCCCTTCGTACATCTCAGTAGAGACACGTACGCGCCACCACGGGCTGGTAAGGGAGGTAAGCCTCCTTAGGTGCTCGTGCAGAGTTGTTCACACAACATGGGCACGAGTCTCCCCAAGAGAGGCAGGGTAATCCTTTCTCCCTTGACAGACGATGCAGCTTATAGCGTGCACCTGTCGGGGTTCGCTTTTCAAACTTATCACGAGCTTTGATAAGTTTGTCGTTCCCAAGCGTCACGACCTACATCCTCGAGATTATGGATGTAGGCGTTCCACGCCTGAAGTAGTGAGGGACCATCACGTTTGTGATTCCCACTGTACCATCGATGTCTGAAGAAAGCATCGATGAAGAACTCATGTTCAGCGCGATAGTCTTTCGCGCTGGGGTCAAGTGATGAATCCTCGACGAATCGAACAATCGTGTTCGATAACGATCACTCGTCGTCGCCGACAAGTGATCCATGACAGATTTAGGAGGCATCCATGCCTTCTTTTCTGGAGCGAGACGCAACACATTGCGGTCCCGCTCTTCCTGCGACGTGCCGACAGAAGTACTGGCACCTCGCTGTGAAGTGGTGTCCATTGGAGAAACGACACCACTATTAGCGCCCGAGTCTCGCGACCTCGAGCGCCTTCGCTTCGGCGATGGTTCATCTGACTCATCAGATGAACCAAAGATGCTGCGACGCAAAGCATCGTCCATGCCACGCTTGGCAGGCGGCTTGGATTCAATTGCCGTCGATACGGATCCGTCATCCGTATCAGGAGAGTACGAGACACCGAGCTCGTACTCTGTGAAGACACGAGTGTCTTCATGACCAGCGCCTGCATCACCAGGTGATACAGGCTGAGTCGATTCAGCAACCGATGGGACATCAGTTGCTGTAGTTTCTGCTTCGGCGTCCGCACAGAGACGTGCAGACGCGCTCTCGGCGGCCTTGCTCGCGCATCGCATGGGCTTGTTTACCATGCGATGAGATGTTGGAAAGTGGACGCGGACCAACAAGTGCAAACCCCGTCCCAAATGATTTGGGACGAGTATCCGACTTAGTCAATCAGTCACTAAAGTGACTGATGGTTAGGGGGGTGATGTAACGGGGTGAATCGTTACATAACAATTTATAAGAAATTGTTAATAGAATATAACTATAAGAGTTATATTCTCAGAATATTGTCATAAGGACAATATTCTGTAGCACTTCAAGTAGTTCCTAATTGGTTGATATAGGCCATTATATCAACCAACGAAGACGCGCCACGACAGACGCACGCAATGAGTGGTGAGCAGATAACTGATTTACACATTTGTATTTAGACATAGTTAGATGAAGATAAATAGTGATTTATTGCAGACATTAACTATTATAAATACAGTTCTACTTTTACTCTAACCGAGTACTCGCTTCTTCTTACCGTCTTCCTCTGCACGTACGAGTGTACGTGAAGTTACGAGGCACCGCCTTATTCTGTCATCAGAATAAGTAGCTTGTACTGTCACCAGTACAAGCTTCAGGGTGCCCCGTTACAGTAGTAGCCTAGGACGATCTACATACATTGTACACTGTAACCTCGGTAGACTTGAACAGGAATAGTTGACAGCTCTCAAGATCGATCATTAGACGCCTTGGGCAAGAACGTTTTGTTGTGCTGAGCACGTAAACTGGTGGGTACGATATCGTGACTGGATAATCACGGAACAAACGGAGTTCATTTACCACCTCCTTCGTCGTATCCTGATTCTACGCTCGAGCGGAAAAATACCGGTACTAGCCGATATGTTGCGAGCGACACGAAATCGATTAGAGCAATGCGTATACACCGCTCCCTTATTGAGTATACGCCTCACCTCAATCCAGCTCCCCCTTTTACAAGAGCTCAGATCCCGTTTGTACTTCCTTCTCACAATGTTGTGAGGGTGAGAGGATCCATTTGGCTAACAAAAAATTACTGTGTGAAGATCTTTGTGGTGAGATCTATTACAAGGGAGTGTGGCCGTAGCAGAAGGGGGGAGGGGTCGTGTCCATTCATGCCTAATGCGACGTCTAGTGTTACAGTCGTCATAGCTAGATACACTCACACTCAAGCGTGCTCAAGACACCACCATAATGTCGAAAATTGTCTCTTAGTGCATCTAAAGCCGATGGATTTGCACTTGATCGGTCCCTGCGAATTTAGACAGTGACGTGTACAGCCGGAGGATCTCCCACGCTCGTAAATTTGGTTTCGATACTGTTTGATGGGGGAAAGAGACGATATTAGAGGACTTGCAAATAACCCAAGCTTGCAAAAGAAGACCTCGTCATTTTGATGGCTGTTACGCGCTCTTTGTGAGTATGCAAAGCGTGTCGGCAGAAATTTGGTGCGTTTGATTCTGCCACGAAATGCTCGCGTCAACTTCTGGTGACTACAATTGACCTTTGCGGATGTTAGACTTGGAGCAGAGCATCACAACCTTGTTTCGATAAAGGTGGCCGTGATAAGGAAGTTTTCTTGCGCTGCTTTGTAAACTATTACAGAAAGTGGTGCTTAGAGTGTGCCCAGGAGTATTATAAATTTTGTGCGGGTTCAAATTGTGGGCAACCGTATCATGGCAGGGGTCTGTATTATGGTGGAGTGAACGTCCTGACGAAGTAGGCGCTGTATTAGGGTGGAATGCACACACTCAGGGTGCGCAGATCCCCCCAAAATTATTCGAATCCAATACCGTCTACAGAAATAAAATATGTGTAATGTCTTACCGGTATTAGTCGATATGCGTATTTACGAGAGCAAATCTCAATATCAGGACCACAAATGTCCAAAAGTCCCAAAACCAGGACTATAGTTTAATCAAGTTTAAATTTATCTATTTTATACTTGGGTTGAGTATGCAAATTAGCATAGTGTCAGCCACATTAAACTCAACTGCAACATGGGATAAGAAACTGTCTGATCACTAATGAGCCTATCCATTTTTTAGACAACTGTCGCGAGTGGTAAAAAAACGCTCTTTTTTTACCAACGTTCGTTTACTTCTCAATTTGCGCCCACGAGCCGATGTGCCCATTTTGGCTTGGGCACATTGCGTGCGAGCCAGGGCCCGGTCGCATGTATTGTCACAAATGCGCCTCGGCATGCGTATTCGCACAAGAACCTGTAGCTCAAGTGGTTTGGTGTGGCAGCACCATGCGAGAGGTCACTGGTTCGATATCCAGTGACTGCGACAAAAAGTTAAAACCTTCGGGTACTGGTGTGCCGGGGTTCACCAGCACTGTCCTGCCAGACAGTGACGTCCCCCATGTTAGTAAGTTACGGTGTTTGTTAGAAACACACTATCTGAGTTAGAAACGTACGACGAGACGATTAGTAATGTACGACTAGACGATTTCTAACGTAGAGTCAGACGGAATACAGTAGGCTTAGAGTAGCAACATGAGGTTGTGAATGAAGGACCTAAATATATTTACTGTGCATTTTGCCAAAACCTCGATCACTTCTTTTTGGTTATGAGCTTAAGCTTCGCAAATTCTGCCCAAGATCTCTATCACGCCTTCGCCGTGGAATCTTATCCGTTCACCGCCGCTCGCATCAACAAGTTCTCCGAAACAAACTTTCATGTGTGGGAGTTCAAGATGCAATTGGTGCTGGAGGATCAAGACCTGTGGGGCGTTGTGAGCGGCAAGGTCAAGCTCAAGTACTGCACAAGTAATTTGGACCAAGGGACCTACAAGCGCAAGTCTCGGAAGGCACTAGCGATCATCTGTCTGGCGATGGAGGATTCGCAGCTGCCACTGGTTCGATCGGCGAAGGACGCGAATATGATGCATGGTCACGTCTAGAAGGTCACCACGAGAAGAAAAGCTTGGCTAATAAGCTCTTTCTTCGTCGTCGTTTCTTTACGACCAGGATGGAAGAAGGTGATGATGAAGTTCTGGGGCACATCAACAGAGTCGAGAATCTGGCGGAGCAACAGGACATAGTCGGTGCTCCGGTCAGTGAGGACGATTTGGTCATCACGCTTCTGGCCAGCCTTAGCGAGTCGTACCAGTTCCTGATAACAGGATTGGAGTCGAGAGCCGACTCGCTGTCGTGGGAACTAGTGACGTCTCGGCTACTGCATGAAGACATGAAGCGCAAGGAGCAAGGTGGTGGCGTCGACGGAGCCGCGCACAGTCAAGGTCAAGCGTTCATGTCAAGAGACAACAAGCGCAAGGCTCGACCGGCTAAGAAGACCGGTGCGTGCCACACTTGTGGAAAGCAAGGACATTGGATTGTGGAATGCCCCTCGCGCATCCAGAAAGACGCTGAACGACACAGGTTCCAGCGTGCAAACATCGCGCAAGAACAAGAGCTTGGCAATTACCTTTTCTCGGTTGGCTGTGGTAAGACCAAGTCTAGTAACATGTGACTAGTCGAATCAGGTGCGGCGCAGCATATCACAAGCTTGAAAAAGTTCATGAGGAACTACAAGGACTTTGGACTAGTAGATGTGCATCTTGCTGATGATGGTGTTGTACAAAAATTCGAAAAGGTGACATTGTCATGTCGATGAGGACCGTCAAGGGGTCAAATAGGGTGTGCTCACAAATGTGTGGCATATCCCAAGTTACCTCGAAACTTATAATTCGTTGGAAGTTTTGTCAAGGAGGTTGGGCATGTCACCTTTAAAGTCGATAATTGCTTCGCGGAAACGAAGGTGTTCCGTGGAAACTTGGCGCTATCAAAGGAAAGGAATTGTTCAAGCTGTGCATGACACCGGAGTTGCCTGACGAGGTCGATATGGCAAGTAAACTCCAAAGGAGACAATACTTCTTACCTTTGAAATCTTTGACTTGGCCACATTGGACATTGCGGTCTAAATTCCATCGTCAAAAAGGATTACGGCAGTGGAATCGCCATGAAGTCGGCGCAGAAGTGGTAGTTTTGTGAAGAATGCACTCTTGGCAAGCAAACACGTGTAAGCTATATGCCTAAGTCACCCGACCGAGCATGTATGTTGCTGGAGGTCATCCACAGCGATGTGTGTGGTCCATGAAAACTCCTACCTTCAGTAACAAACGAATTTACGAGTACTTGCACTACTGTGCAGTGTATCTGCTTCAAAACAAGTCTGAAGTAGCGGCCAAGTTCGCTCAATTTTTTGCGCTGGCGGAAACCCAAGCCGGCAAGCGAGTGAAGACACTCTGCAGTGATAATGGTGGTGAGTACACTTTCAGAACGATGTCCAAGTTCTGTGCGGACCATGGTATCATGCAGAAATTCACGCCGCCTTCCACGCCTCAATTGACTGGTGTCACCGAGCGGATGAATCGAAAATTCGTGGAAAGCGCTCGTTGCATGATGGAACATGCTGAGCTATCCAAGTCGTATTGGGGTGAGGCATTCATGACTGCAAACGTTGTAAGTCTTCGCTGTCCAACTCGTTCTACAAGTCACGACAAGTCACCCTACGAAGCATGGAGCGGTAAGAAACCTATACTTGCAAACCTGAAGGTGTTCGGTTGCCATGCATACGTGCGTGCCCAAGCCAAAGCAGTCCAAGCTCGCTGCAAGATCGATTTAGTGTCATTTGATCGGGTACTCAGATCATGAAAAAGCGTATCGATTCGAAGAGCTGGACAGTGGTCGTGTACTGGTGAGCCGTGATGCACAATTCATGGAGAATGTTTTCGACAGTGGGAGACGCGACTATGTGCAAGATGGAGCCGTCGTCGAAGAAGAAGCTTTTATGGAAGATGAGGATATACCTATGGAGGACTACTCCTCTCATGACACCAGCAACATGAATTTTGAAGAGGCTACAATGGATGGCGTTGATGAACCCGGCGTTAAGAGACACCGACGCACACAGTCGCTCGAGGCCTTGGCCAACGCTCCTGATGCGAAACGTCGAGCTCGATACCTTACCATGGCCGAGATGTCTGCGACTGCTGATACCAGTCACTCTGTTGAGACTGCCTACGTCGTGGATTCAGTGGGAGATTTACCAAGGACATTCAAGTCAGCAATGGAATCCAGCGACGCAGTCAAGTGGAAAGAGGCTTGTGACTCCGAAATAAATTCCCTTCGTCAAAATGAGACCCGGAATCTCGTGCCGCTTCCACAGGGACGCAAGGCAATTGGTAATCGATGGGTATTTCGGGTCAAGGAGAACCAGGATGGAGAAATCGAGCGGTTCAAAGCGCGTCTGGTTGCCAAGGGATTTTTGCAGAAGTTTGGCATCGACTATGACGAGACGTTTGCACCAGTGGCCAAGTTCACATCGATCCGAATCGTGCTCAGTTTAGCTGCGAAGTACTCGTTCATGATTCACCAGATGGATGTCAAGACAGCATTTCTAAATGGACATCTTGATGAAGATGTTTACATGGAGCAGCCAGACGGCTACGTTGATGAAGACCATCCGGACTACGTGTGCAAGCTCAAGCGTTCGCTGTACGGACTGAAGCAGTCGCCGCGCATGTGGAACCAGACCATTGACGATTTTATGCTGGGCTTGGATTTTAAGAAGTGCAAGACCGACCATTGCATTTATTTCAAGCGAGATCAAGAAGACTTGAGTTTTGTAGCGCTGTACGTTGACGATTTGGTCCTCGTAAGCAACAACGCCGAACTGATTAGAGCTACAAAGGATGCGCTAAGTGAGCGGTTTGAGATGACGGATCTCGGCGAACTCAAGTACTTCCTCGGAGTGGAAGTTAACCAAGATTGTTCAGCTGGTACGATTTCGATTTGTCAGTCCAAATTTGCAAAGGACATCCTTGAGAAATTTGGCATGGATAACAGCAATCCTGTCAGAACTCCACAAGACCCTGGACTCAAGCTGACAAAGTCAATGTGCGTGGATGGGTGCAAGCATGACGAAACCATGGCAGGTGTACCATATCGAAGCGCAGTCGGTTGCCTGATGTACTTGATGGTGGGAACACGCTCGGACCTTGCGGCTGCAGTGGGAGTGCTTAGCCAGTTCTCGGCAGACCCTTGTCCGACCCATTGGCAGGCTCTCAAGCGGGTATTACGTTACATCCAAGGCACAAGGGAATATGGAATTGAGTATCAAGCAACAAACAATGACAAACTGCACGGCTATTCGGATGCAGACTGGGCAGGCGATGTGGAATCTCGACGCAGCACGAGCGGGTACACGTTCATATTGAACAACGGGTGTGTAAGCTCGAGAAGTAAGAAACAGAGCACTGTGGCTCTTTCATCTACGGAAGCAGAGTACATGGCGTTGTCGGAAGCTGCACAAGAAGCAATTTGGCTGAAGGCACTATTATGTGAGCTCGACGAGATGAGGAGCGATGAAGCTGTCAAGATCTACGAGGACAACCAAGGCTCCATCGCATTGGCCAAAAATCCCGAGTTTCACAAGCGCACCAAACACATCGACATTCGTTTTCATTTTGTACGCGAGAAAGTGGCTGAAGGAACATTGGTGTTGGAATACTGCTCGACCAAGGACATGAAGGCCGACCTGATGACGAAGCCAATTCCTGTAGTACAGTTTCAACATCTACGGAACATGCTGGGTGTCAAGGTGCTAACTTCTGCCGAGGCGAGTGGGAGTGTTGTCACAAATGCGCCTCGGCATGCGTATTCGCACAAGAACCTGTAGCTCAAGTGGTTTGGTGTGGCAGCACCATGCGAGAGGTCACTGGTTCGATATCCAGTGACTGCAACAAAAAGTTAAAACCTTCGGGTACTGGTGTGCCGGGGTTCACCAGCACTGTCCTGCCAGACAGTGACGTCCCCCATGTTAGTAAGTTACGGTGTTTGTTAGAAACACACTATCTGAGTTAGAAACGTACGACGAGACGATTAGTAATGTACGACTAGACGATTAGTAACGTAGAGTCAGAAAGAATTCAGTAGGCTTAGAGTAGCAACAGGAGGTTGTGAACTAAGGACCTAAATATATTCACTGTGCATTTTGCAAAACTTCGATCACTTCCTTTAGCATGCACCCGACGAGCTCGTGACCGGGTGACTCAGTTATTACACCTTGCACTGTCGATTTTGATTAAATCAGTAATTCTTTATGTACGCGGTTGCAGCAACGCCAGTTCGAAAGGTTTTACAATAGGTCAGGTCAGTGGTACCGTGATTAGTGTTAATTTCGATTGCTGCAGTCACTCGAGACATCTCAAAGACTTCTTTCAGTCCACTTCTTGCGCTTACGCTTGAACGCTCAAACTAACCATTCAAAATAAACAGAATGAGGTTGTGAACCAAATTTTTTTAATTGATTATTGCTTTTAAGACCAGTACTAATTTCTATATATTTACAAAACGCATGTATTACACTTGTCTTGATATTACGCCCTAGTCAGTCTAACAAACTCCTGGTACTGCAACAAATCCACACGGATATAGCACACAATCGTAAAGCAGGACACTCGACATTACTTGAAACCACTCGAAGCCGCTCTATATCACCGGACGCCACTTTACATCACTGGACATTACTCGACATCACTTAATATCACTCGACATCACTTGAAACGCACTGCAACACATGCATACAGACAAAGCATACGATCGTTAGACAGCACAGTCGACATCGACAGCATAATTACCTGCTACTGCTGCTCATGAGAGTTAATACAATAACGGAGTTTACCAGTCACGAGCTCGTCGGGTGCATGCGACCGGGCCCTGGCTCGCACGCAATGTGCCTAAACCAAAATGGGCACATCGGCTCGTGGGCGCAAATTGAGAAGTAAACGAACGTTGGTAAAAAAAGAGCGTTTTTTTACCACTCGCGACAGTTGTCTAAAAAATGGATAGGCTCATTAGTGATCAGACAGTTTCTTATCCCATGTTGCAGTTGAGTTTAATGTGGCTGACACTATGCTAATTTGCATACTCAACCCAAGTATAAAATAGATAAATTTAAACTTGATTAAACTATAGTCCTGGTTTTGGGACTTTTGGACATTTGTAGTCCTGATATTGAGATTTGCTCTAAAAAATACCCAGCTCCATCAATTAGGTAGATGCTTCGATGCCTCATGTCGCATAAGACCAAGTTCTCTTTCTGCTTCCACTCTGTTGTTGTCGTTGCGCGTCATAATTGCATAACGACCATTTGTCACCAAGACTTGATCAAATTAAAGAGCCACAGCGTCTCATTCCTACTTAATACAAAAGTGCGTTGTCGATAGAACATGCATAGTGGGAACGTGTTGGGGTGATCAGTCGTACTTAATGCTTGCTGATGACCGCGAGATCAAGGCATGCCAAAGGAGCAATTTAAGGGACCTAGGAAAGATTTAGGGCCCTGTGTAGCATACAAATGTCATGTGAGACGCGTTACAAAGACGTTTGATGGGACATTGCATCGGTGGCGATCATGCAACCACGAGTGGAGTTGCGCGTCCTCGTACCACGTTAATGTTGTTGTGTGCTCATGCAGGTAAGTCAGTGGCAGCGAATTGTAGCAAATTTTTTCCAGTTATGTTCGGTTCTCATGGACGCTTTGTCCATCTTCATCCTACTTCCAGCTGAAGTGACTAGTGCCGCAAGTACCGATTGTAAAAGGTCTGGTTAGGCAGATTTCTCAACGTTGATCGCGCGACCTTGCTCTACCCACTTGTGCGTTACACACACCACAATAATCGAACCGCTTCGACCATGTCTTGAGGTCTCTTTGCATCATCTTGTGCGAAGTTACGGCGAAGGAAGAGCAATAATTGACCAGAGGGGGAATCAAAGGGGGAGGTGTTAGAGTGGGTGAATCGGAAAACGCGATTGAGCAGTATGTGCGATGCCGCTTCTTCTAAAGCAGCTGATAAAAATAGAGCAGTACCAAGGCAAGTGCAAGACTGCTCTGAGTGCCTCAGCTGCCCAAACACGATGCGGGCTAACTGACAGTAATAGTGACAAGTCGAACCGATTGCAACAAGTTCAAAGTCACGTCGTTTGTAGTTCATCAACCCCAACAGCTTTCAACTCGGAGTTCTAGCTCCAACCTGAATGAACCACTTGTGTCATCGAAAACTACCCGCAACTACTCGCGTAGTCAGAAACGGTGCTCGCCTCGGAGCCGTGATTATACAGTTGTTTCCCAGACAACCCGCCAGTCGAAGTGACGATCTGAGCCCTGGCGGCGTCGGCTGCAGGTGCTCGAATAGCATCGTTCAGACACACGGCGCAAAACGTGACTTTCCTCTGAGCCAGCAGCAAGTCCGGAGTCACAAAGCTCAGCTTCCGCTGGATCTTGCAGCTGTGACACACGTACCCAAAGCAGAGTTTGCACGTCGCGTCGGACTTGCCAAAGTCGCCAAGTCTCCGATTCGTGATGTGCGCATTGCAAGTCACGCACACGAGCTCTCGGTTCGGTGTCCCCAGTTCCTTCGCCTCAGCATAGCGTTTCTCCAGAATGTACTGCAATTTCTTCATCTGACCGCAGTGAGCATACTTAAGTGTCGATAGAAACGTAGTCGCCATGGTCGGGACCACGAGCATGCGGATCATGTCACCGCCTGGATCCATGAGACCCGTGACGAAGATCTCGCTGACGTTCGGCCGAACTTGGCGGAAAAACCCGCAGATCGACAAGTTCGCACGGACTCGACCTGGCAAATCGCAAGTCTCGGGGAAGTCCACCGAGTGCATGATGTGGTACCCAACCTTCTCGCCACTTGCGAGGTGCACGAAGTTGGTCGCCTCGACGTAAATGTAGTCGCGGTTCCGCACTAGACCCGTCGACTGGAGAGGGATGTCCATCTCCATCCACTTGACAACGAGCGAGTTGAAGGGCTTCTCGACACTTGGCTCCACGATGTTAGCAAGTACGGCTGCGCCACTCAGATCCTCGACGTACGAAGCCTTGATGCGCATGACCTCCAGCGTCGGGTTCACCACCCCGAACATCATGTCTTCCATTTCGCCCATTGTCGTCCCGACGCAGAGCAGCGATGGCAACTCGGACGAAGCACCAGCGAGTTTCGGAAGTGGCATGGCCTTGCGCCCAGAGCTCGGCGCTTTCTCCTGATACACTCGCGTGTTGTCTCGACTTTTCACGAGCTTCCAGTGGCTCGGGTCGACTCGACTTTTGTCAGCATTGATAAAGTCTTCGTACCGGGACAAGTTCGAGTCCAGGATGATGCTCGAAATCTCGTGCAGATTGTTCACGTCGGAAGACGAGAGAACCAGCTCCTTGAACGGATTGACAGTGAATCGACCCTTCACCATTCGATCAACAGGTTTCTTCGAATCGGTAAACGACAGGTTGTTCAAGGCAGAGCGAAACCCACAATGGCGTCGAGGGTTTCGCGAGCAGAAATAGAGGACGACGTGCATCGAATGTGAGGCAAAAACCACGTGGGCGCTGACTGTTGTCAGCTCTTATCCTATGTACACTGTTTCCATCCGCTGTTGCTCGGAAGAAACCCAGTGATTGACTCGATGTGATCCCAAAGCATCCGATAAGACCAACGGCATGAAGTCCAGCTCCGTAAAGTGTATTTCTGGCACGAAAGCATTTCCACTTGGAAGAAAACAGAGGATGGCAGTCGTCGAGAGCTGTCGAGATAAACAAAACTTGCAGTGTCCAGCTAGTAGTAAACACGGAACCGAACAAAGCTTTGAGCTTCGTGCCCGACTTTATCTTCCAACGAGATGCTTGTGCCCATTTCCATTAAAGCAGAGAGAAACTCGTTTACTTTGATTGTGCAGCTCTAGTTTACATTCGATTCGACTTGTAGACGGGAAGCTGCAAACAACGGCTGCATTGTTTGTTTTTGCTTGGTTCTGCGGTCTCACAGCGTCTGTAAATTATGTATCATTCATTGACGACTCCGCACAGCCTTGTTCACACACTAGAGGACTCCAACTCGTACAGTTCTCTGTGGATTGAGGTGACTCAAATCTGCAGTGGCTCGAAGCAATTTAAATGCATCTTTCCTTCGGCTGCTTGCAAACGGGGACATAGGCGACTGACCAGCCACGCATGTAGACTTGTCATCGTGCGGTGATCACTGCATTCAGACCTCTACACGCTATCTCTCGATAGCATGTTTTGTCAGCGGCAGCAAGAACATTTCCAAGCTCAGACCGACGCAGTAGACGAACGATGTGATGATGAAACAGATGCGGTAACCGTACGCATCGATGAGGTAGCCTCCGAGCACAGCACTGCCCGAAAAGGAAAACACCGACAAGCCCTCCAGCGCATTCCAGCGAGCACGAATGTCCTTCCGCACGTAGTCCATCAGAATCGACCGACGTAGAGGTTGAGAGCACCGCATCATTCCGCCACGCATCAGGAAAAGTGCAATCTGTAGAGCCACCGGTTGTGTGTAGGCCATCGCAAACAGACACGCTACCGAGAACGTCCTTGTGAACGCAATAACTGGCATACGACCGCACGATTTGGACAGCCGTTGTGAGATGAACGACAGGATCATGACAATCAGTGGCTGAGTCATGAAGAGCGCGCACACATGAACGGGCGTGAGCCCGTACTCTTCCTTAAAAAACAACGGGAAGAAGTTGATCGTCATACCGGCTCCGTTGCAAATGATAAAGTCCGACGCGAACAAGATGTACGGCACATGTTTCGTGCGGAAGCAGAGAAACCTGGAATCCGAATTCCCCATGTAGCCCTCATCGTCGTCGTCCATCACTTGCTGTAAGCGTTGTTGACGCTCTTCGTCCATCTCTTCGGCAGTTTTTCCCTTAAATAGCAGCAGTGCCGTATTTTCGGAGACTGTTGGCGTCGTATGGTTCCCGATCACAATGTCGTCTTCGTCAGGGTAGTCATAGACCAAGTCCATCTCATTGCCAACAAGCTTCGGCGTCCGAATAGGCGACGGAGGATTCAATTTCATCTGCCTGTCCGTCTCTTCTTGAGTCTCCGTCTGCATATAATCCCTCGCTCGATCATCATCGAAGCGAAACAAGATGAACGAGGCAACAGCAGCCAAGACGCCTCCAAGCTCGAGCACAGTCTTGAGCTCTGGCAGCTGCCACTTGTCCCCGTAGACCCAGAAGAGAAAAATGCTCAGCACCGGTCCCAGCATCTGCGCCAAGTTGCTGATGTTGTACTTGATCATAAAAGGGAAGCTCCGTCTCCCAGGAGGAATCGAGTCGGCGAAAAGCGCTTCCAACGCAGGACTTTGGAACGCCCCAAAGAGTCCCCAGAGTCCAAAGGCCACGTAGAGACCGTTGATGGACGTGCATTCAATGGCGATGAAAGTGGCGATGGAACTGACGATTCCGATGCCACCCGAGAACTTGAGCACGGAATCCCGACGGCTGTGGTCAGCCACGTACCCGCCTGGGAACGAGAACACGAGCTGGGAGATGCCTTGAATGCCTTTGACGTTCCCGACAGCTTTGGTCGAACTGGTCAGCACGAACACGTAGCCAGCGACAACCTGTTGGAACAAAATGCTATTGCGACCACATCAGACACATGGCTACATGTGAGAAGCTGTACATATGGCTACATGAGCGAGACTGTACAAATGGCTACATTCTGATGTGTCCACTGAATACAGAGAGGGACTTGAGATAGACTTGGTTAAGTATACCTTCGGGCCGACCAGGAGAACAGCGTAAAGACGTAAGCGACCCAGACGTTGTGTGTCGTGCTCTTGGGCGACCACAGAGCCATCGCGTAGCAATCGGACGCGTTATTTTTGAATAGATCAGAGCAGATCGAGTGACGCGCAGCTTGGAGAGTGACGACGTGGAGGGTGCGGGCGTCCGTCACACTATGCGACATGTGCTACGGGCGCGACATCCTTCTCAGCCAATAAACTATTTATATGGAAATTGATGTGGCAGACACCATCTTGCGACGATCAAAACACACGTCACTCACTGAAAAAACCAGCTGTTCAAACTCATCAGCGTCATGTGTCTGTTAACTTCGTTTGTTTGATTGACTCGCGTTTTTTTCAATGGGGCCCGCGCAGTCCTCGTGCGACCGCCGTCCGGTGTTCTACTTCATCGGCGACTCCATCACCGAGTACGGCAGCGACCCGGACAAGCGCGGCTTTATCACGATCTTGCAGCACCACTACGTGCGAGCGATCGACTGTGTCAACCGCGGCCTCTCGGGCTACAATACCAAGTTTGTGGATTGCTGCGTAATTTATTGCTCGTTTGGTTCGCGAAGCTAAATATCTTCCGTACTGATTTTAGTTATCTGATGTGTCCCTGACCCAGATGGGTGCTGGAGCACGCGATGCCCGTTTACGTGACCGAGCTGCAGGCCGCGTACTCGGCGTCCCTTGTGACGGTCTTCCTTGGGGCCAATGACGCCGTGCTCGAGCACGGACCCGACGCTGCGCAGTTCGTGCCCCTGGAGGACTATCGAGCCAATCTGCACGAGATCGTGCGACGCGTGCGCCCCTTTTGGCTCCTCACGGCCAAGTGCTTCTGATCACGCCGCCCTGTGTCATTGACTCGATGCGTCAAGGGGACCGCAGCGACGCCTCAGCTGCCAAGTACGCGGAAGCGTGCGTCCAAGTGGCTGCGGCCGAGAATGTCCGTGTGCTGGACCTGCACACGTACTTCACCACGATGTACCCGGAGGAGAGTGCTCGCAAAGCGTTCTTTGTGGACGGACTGCACTTGTCGGCACAGGGCAATGAGGAAGTGGGCAAGTTGCTGGGAGTCGCGATCAACGGCATGTTTGGGAAAGACGAACTGGCGAGGTTTGCCAAGTGGCAGTTGCCGGACTGGAAGGATTTGGTTCCTCGCGTCCCCGGAGCGGAGTCGCAGTTACTGGGCGGGGCTGCGACTGGAGTCGCTCGGGGGTGATGGAGCTTTCCGATTGCCATGAGGTTTCAAACAGCTCCTGGTACTCGTCGCCTGCATGTAAGTGATCAACTGAGCGCTTTACCCTTGTGAGTCAATCAACCGTTCTAGGTTCGTTGGACACGTTCATCCCAGCAAAGCCGTCAGTGTAATGAGCTCACCTGACATCGCTACTACCTACGATTCGTTTCATCCAGCGTCATTGCTCATTCTCAATCTCACGTTCAGCCCCATGTACACTGACGGATTGAAGCCGACACACGCCTGTGCTACAAATTGGACGTCAGAATGTGTCGGCACAATCAATACCAATAGCTCTTGGAACGGAACACGAGGATGCCACGTTTCCGCATTCGTAGCAGGATGTCGCCTCGACAATGAAGCGCTACGAAGTCGATTCTGATGCGCATACGATGCACTGCAACTAGATACTTACCTACTGTTTGTCGTGGCTTGGAACCTGGTACGAAAGATGCAGCCGAGGCCTCGACTGAACCTGAACCGTTTGCAAAGACTGCCATTCTATCACAGCACACAACACGTTGAGCTGTCGCACTCCCGCGCTCTCACAACCGCCATACCACTGCCGAAAGGTGGCAAGAAGCAGCTTCATGTGCGGCGTATCGATAACGACATCTTCGCCTGGCAAGGGTGTCCAGCCTAGTCACTTTGGTGTTGCCACTTGATAATGGACTAATGATGGCGTCCGAGCAAACTCGAGGCGACGTGAGCTGATCCTGTTGAGTTACGCGGGGTCTGCAACCTTCAGGATCCATAACTTGCCGTCACTGGGCCGACTTGTGCGTTCAGCAGACTTTCATGTGTGTGTATCTTTAAGACGCTCGAGGACAAGTACTCGCTCGATCCATAAAGCTCGTACATCTTTTGGTGCAACTTGGTAGATGTGTCTCCGTTTGCACGCGCTTGCGAGATGGACATGAGCTTTCCTGTCCCTGAGTAGACAACGTCGCAGCTCAAAAGTCGGTTCACACACTATCACTGCGTCGCACTCGTAGTATTTTCCACATCTCTGCGTTGTCCAGAGACCATTCGCTTGCTCTCTGCTGCTGTAAAAGGCTCAAAGACGTGTCGGCATTGCGAAACGGTCCAGTCCATTCAACTTGTCCGCTGCTCCATGATGACGGAGATTGCGCTGCTGCTTCAAGATGACGAACATTGACAGGACGAGAGCACAAACACCACTCATTCGTCGACGTGATCCACGAGATTATCTTGCTCGCGCATGCCAATGCATCGTCTTGACACAAGCGCTTCGTAGCCGCATTTGCACACATACCCAACTTTGCCATTACAATAATTACCGCCACCTCCTACCACCAATACACCAACCCGGTCTTCACAACTACTCACAGAGTCTTGCCAAATCGCCTAGTAACGCCTTCGGTATCGAGGCAACTGCCGCAAGTCACCACGCGGTCGTCCGCCAATCTCGTTGATTCCTCCTTTCAACAGCCTTGTCACATTCATCCAAAGCGCTGGCTCTGGGACACCTCAGGGTGAAGACCTTCCTGCAAAAAGTACTTCTCAACTGCATCCGCCACACCACGACCCTCGTTGATCGCCCACACAACTAGAGATTGGCCGCGCCGACAGTCACCGGCTGCAAACACACCCTCGACCGACGTCTGGTAGTCTCCATAAGCGGCTCGAATGTTGCGGCGCTGATCCACCTCCAGCCCAAGAGCCTCTGCGATCTTCTGCTTCGGATGGACGAACCCCATGGCAAACAGCACATTCTTCGCACGAAATCTCCTCTTCTGTATCGTCCATTGCTTGCTGAAAGCGTTGTTGACGCTCTTCGTCCATCTCCTCGGCAGTTTTTCCCTTAAATAGCAGCAGTGCCGTATTTTCGGAGACTGTTGGCGTCGAATGGTTCTCGATCACAATGTCGTCTTCGTCAGAGTAGTCATAGACCAAGTCCATCTCATTGCCAACAAGCTTCGGCGTCCGAATAGGCGACGGAGGATTCAATTTCATCCGCCTGTCCGTCTCTTCTTGAGTCTCCATCTGCATACAATCCCTCGCTCGCTCGCTCGGTCATCATCGAAGCGCTACATTCTGACGTGTCCCTGAAGATAGTGAGGGAGTTGAGAGGCACTTGATCAAGTATACCGTCGGGCCGACCAGGAGAACAGCGTGAACACGTAAGCGAGCCAGACGTTGTGCGTCGTGCTTCGAGGCGACGACCGAGTCGTTGCGTCGAAGGACGGACGTTGCTTTGTCTGTCCACTGCGATCACGTGAGGCGGAGCGTGGAGAGTACTGACGGAAGGACGTGCTGGCTTGTGATGCGATGCGACAGGTGCCATGGGCCCGAGGTTCTTGCCAGCCACTAAGCGATTTACACGGAACTTGACGTGGCGGACGCCGTCTCGCGACCACCGGAGCATGAGGAGGAAGAACTCGCAGGCGACGAGCCGCGCAAAGCGCCTCGTGAGCAGTCGGTTGTCTGTTCGGTTCGTTTGTTTGATTGCCGCCGCGTGTCTCTCCCTGGGGCTCGCGCAGTCCTCGTCCGAGCGGCGTCCGGTGTTCTACTTCATCGGCGACTCCATCACCGAGTACGGCAGCAACCCGGCCAAGCGCGGCTTCGTCACGACCGTGCAGCACCATCACGTGCGAGCTGTCGACTGCGTCAACCGCGGCCTCTCGGGCTACAACTACCAAGTTTGTGGACTGCTGCGTAAGTTATTGCTCGTTTGACGGCGTGACTGAGCTGAATGTGGATGTCCGTACTGATTTTAGTTATCTGATGTGTCCCTGACCCAGATGGGTGCTGGAGCACGCGATGCCCGTTTACGTCGACCGAGCTGCAGGCCGCGTACTCGGCGTCCCTTGTGACGGTCTTCCTTGGGGCCAATGACGCCGTGCTCGAGCACGGACCCGACGCTGCGCAGTTCGTGCCCCTGGAGGACTATCGAGCCAATCTGCACGAGATCGTGCAACGCGTGCGCCCCCTGTTGGCTCCTCACGGCCAAGTGCTTCTGATCACGCCGCCCTGTGTCATTGACTCGATGCGTCAAGGGGACCGCAGCGACGCCTCAGCGGCCAAGTACGCGGAAGCGTGCGTCCAAGTGGCTGCGGCCGAGAATGTCCATGTGCTGGACCTGCACACGTACTTCAACACGATGTACCCGGCGGAGAGTGCTCGCAAAGCGTTCTTTGTGGACGGACTGCACTTGTCGGAACGGGGCAATGAGGAAGTGGGCAAGTTGCTGGGAGTCGCGATCAACGGCATGTTTGGGAAAGACGAACTGGCGAGGTTTGCCAAGTGGCAGTTGCCGGACTGGAAGGATTTGGTTCCTCGCGTCCCCGGAGCGGAGTCGCAGTTACTGGGCGGGGATGCGACTGGAGTCGCTCGGGGGTGATGGAGCTGTCCGATTGACGTGAGGTTTTAAACAGCTCCTGGTACTCGTCGCCTGCATGTAAGTGATCAACTGAGCGCTTTACCCTTGTGAGTCAATCAACCGTTCCAGGTTAGTCGGACACGTTCATCCCAGCAAAGCCGTCAGTGTAATTGTAACGGGGCACCCTGAAGCTTGTACTGGTGACAGTACAAGCTACTTATTCTGATGATCGAATAAGGCGGTGCCTCGTAACTTCACGTACACTCGTACGTGCAGAGGAAGACGGTAAGAAAAACGAGTACTTGGTTAAAGTAAAAAGTAGAACTGTATTTATAATAGTTAATGTCTGCAATAAATCACTATATATCTTCATCTAACTATGTCTAAGTACAAATGTGTAAATCAACTATCTGCTCACCACTCATTGCGTGCGTCTGTCGTGGCGCGTCTTCGTTGGTTGATATAATGGCCTATATCAACCAATTAGGAACTACTCGCAAGTGCTACAGAATATTTGTCCTAATGACAATATTCTGAGAATATAACTCTTATAGTTATATTCTATTAACAATTTCTTATAAATTGTTATGTAACGATTCACCCCGTTACATCACCCCCCCTTAACCATCAGTCACTTTAGTGACTGATTGACTAAATGGATACTCGTCCCAAATCATTTGGGACAGGGTTTGCACTTGTTGGTCCGAGTCCACTTTCCAACATCTCATCGCATGGTAAACAAGCCCATGCGATGCGCGAGCAAGGCCGCCGAGAGCGCGTCTGCACGTCTCTGTGCGGACGCCGAAGCAGAAACTACAGCAACTGATGTCCCATCGGTTGCTGAATCGACTCAGCCTGTATCACCTGGTGATGCAGGCGCTGGTCATGAAGACACTCGTGTCTTCACAGAGTACGAGCTCGGTGTCTCGTACTCTCCTGATACGGATGACGGATCCGTATCGACGGCAATTGAATCCAAGCCGCCTGCCAAGCGTGGCATGGACGATGCTTTGCGTCGCAGCATCTTTGGTTCATCTGATGAGTCAGATGAACCATCGCCGAAGCGAAGGCGCTCGAGGTCGCGAGACTCGGGCGCTAATAGTGGTGTCGTTTCTCCAATGGACACCACTTCACAGCGAGGTGCCAGTACTTCTGTCGGCACGTCGCAGGAAGAGCGGGACCGCAATGTGTTGCGTCTCGCTCCAGAAAAGAAGGCATGGATGCCTCCTAAATCCGTCATGGATCACTTGTCGGCGACGACGAGTGATCGTTATCGAACACGATTGTTCGATTCGTCAAGGATCCATCACCTTGACCCCAGCGCGAAAGACTATCGCGCTGAAAACGAGTTCTTCATCGATGCTTTCTTTAGACATCGATGGTACAGTGGGAATCACAAGCATGATGGTTTCTCACTACTTCAAGCGTGGAACGCCTATATCCATAACCTTGAGGATGTAGGTCGTGACGCTTGGAACGACAAGCTTATCAAAGCTCGTAATAAGTTTGAAAAGCGGACCCCGACAGGTGCACGCTACAAGCTGCATCGTCTGTCAAGGGAGAAGGGATTACCCTGCCTCTCTTGGGGAGACTAGTGCCCGTGTTGTGTGAACAACTCTGCACGAGCACCTAAGGAGGCTTACCTCCCTTATAGCCCGTGGTGGCGCGTACGTATCTCTATTGAGATGTACGAAGGGATTGACAACCAGAAATCCCTTTACGACCGTGCCGGGAAGACTTTCTCCGGCGGTCCTTCTGCGGCACAGGATGTGCCGCGTCGTACTGCTCAACCAGACCCAGTACGTCAATCATCAGTTGGGAGTGGGGCTACCAAGTATCCCAGGACGGGGGATAGCCGCGCCACCGGACGAGATAACTCGTCCGACGTCCGTTCACGTCGCGGTGGTTCAACAGCTGCTCAACTAGATAGCGCTGGCCACCGCGAGAGTCCTCTAATGGAGGTGGAGGAGGAGGAAAGACGCTCTCCACACGATCATGTGGATCGGTGTGTTCCCGAGAGCTTCTTTGATCGCGTAACGCAAGGGTTACGCGACGATCTCGAACATGAGCGGAATAGGCGTCTCCAACTGGCGGACACTGTCTCGAAGCATCGAGCTGAGTTTGCCTTTGCTCAGCTTGAGAACGAGAGATCTCTGACATCTCTTCGTGACGAGATAAGGGTAGCTCGTGGGATTGTTGATCGGTCTCGGGATGAGATAGCTGCTCTTCAGACCCTTGTTGATGCCCACCATCGGGAGCACAAGGCTCTCTGCGAGATGCTTGAGCGCAAGGGCGTTCTTCATCGGAAGAAGCAGCGTACTGATGGTACGGCTTAAGCCGACCAACGTAAAACGTGGGATGCGTTCGCATCTTACGTGGTAACTCGATCGTGTATGCATTTCCTAGGCGGTGCAATACACGAAATGGGCCGATGTACTTGGGTAGTAGTTTACTGCTACCCAATTTAGTCACTACATGCTTTGGTAGATTAACCGTAGACAGTAGGACTAAGTCACCTTTATTAAATAAAAGAGTGTTTGCCCTTCCATTCTTGTCTGCGTTTTGCTTTTGCTTGTCCACCGCTTCGGCGATGGAGTCTTGCACAAAACGGACTACCGTTTCACGAGCCAGTATAAACTCATCTGATAACTCGTTAGATTCAGTGCGCTGTGAGCGCACTGCAGCAACACTAACCTTTTCTTCAGTGAGGGCTTCCGCACTCTCACTGGCATCATCTTCTTCGATATCGATGTTATCGATATCGGCATCAAACGCAATGACCTCTTCGTCAGGGCGTGATGAGCGTGAACCAAATCGTTTTTTGCTCGCGCGAGTCCCTCCCCCCCTTAAACCAGAGTTACACTCTAGTAAGGTGGGTACACGCGGATGGCGCAAGCCATTCACGTAAAACGGTGTATGTGTCGTGGACGCATGCACCGAGTTGTTGATGGCAAACTCTACCATTGGCAAAAACTCACTCCAACTCTTAAAGGAGTGTACGTATCCTCGAAGTATCTCTTCAAGGACACGATTGGCACGTTCCGTCGGACCATCTGTCTCTGGATGATCAGATGTCGACATCTTCAAGCGCGTTCCGAGTGATTTGAACACGGAACGCCAGAAATCAGCAGTGAATCGTGGATCTCTGTCTGATACGAGTTCACGGGGCAACCCATGAAGTCGGAAGATGGTGTCAATAAAGACACAAGCACAGCCACTTGCCGTGATTGTCTTTGGTACAGCCACAAGATGTACCATTTTGCTGAATCTGTCAACAAATACGAGAATACCCGTATTCCCGCGTTCGTCTTTGGGTAACCCGAAGACGAAATCCATTGAGATGGATTCCCAGCACTCAGCCGGAACCGGTAGAGGCTGTAAAGGTGCACGCAGTGAAGGACTTGACTTCACTCGTTGGCAGACTTCGCATGCGCGAACATACTTTCGCACAAACTGATACTGGCGGGGCCAGTAAAAGTCTCGAATCACCGTGAGATATGTTTTCTCTCGGCCACGATGTCCTCCTATAGGAGCATCGTGATACTCGAACATGATCCGCAAACGCAGATCAGTATCATCTGGAATGAGAACACGTGGTGTGTCACCAGAAACGGCTGTATAATACAGTAAACCGTTACGAGTAGTGTATCGATCTGATGCAGATCGATACGCAGGCGACAATCGTTTCAACGATTCTCAAGATGGTTGGGAGAGATGTGTCAACAACTTCACAATCTCACCATCTTGGGCGTATGCCCGCCTCACATCATCATACAACGTTGTAGATGGGACTGAGGATGTCATAACCGCAACAGTGACTGTCTCACTGTTGGGTTTCGCGACTGGTTCAAAGTCGGGACGACGTGAGAGTGCATCAGCGACGACATTAAGTCGTCCTGGTTTGTACTCGACCGTAAAGTTGTATTCTGCAAAGAATGACAACCACCGCGCCATTCGTTGTGAAAGGTGCGGGCTGTTCACTGCCGTGCGTAATGACGCATGGTCAGTGTAAACAATGAAGGGTCTATCTCCTAATAGATAGACTCTGAACTTCGCGAGTGCATACTTCATGGCAAGGAGTTCCTTGTCATGCACTGGATAGTTCCGCTCAGCTGGTTGCAGCTGACGCGACTGATAGCAGACGACGCGTTCAACGCCTTCAAGATCGTACTGCATTAATGCACAGCCGATTGCAAAATCGCTGGCATCACAGACCACATGAAATGGCCTGTCCTGATCGGCTATTGCTAGGACTGGGGATTGTATCAAGCTCTGCTTGATACCATCAAAGGAGCGCTGACATTCAGCGTTCCATAACCACCTCTCGTTCTTTTTCAACAAACGAGAGAGGTGCACAGTCATCTCGGCGTAATTGCGTGAATACTTATGCAAATACGCCGCTAGCCCAAGGAATTTTCGAAGACCTTTGACATCAACCGGCACAGGCCAGTCGGTGATCGCCTTGATCTTTTCGGGATCAGGACGTACACCGTTCTTACCAACGATGCACCCAAGAAGTGGTATTTCGCTTGCTGCAAATATACACTTCTTGAGGTTTGCATACAATTGATGCTTTCGCATGATTGTAAGAACCTGTCGGACGTGGTACCTGTGAACCTCAACGTCCGACTTTCCATCCATAGCTCGACTATGGATGAATACGTCATCGAAATAACTCGGCGCGAATTCTCGTACTGGTCTCAACAGATGTGATACACATCTGTTGAACGTGGCAGGGGCATTACTAAGCCCTTGTGGCATTACTAGCCATTCCCAGAGCATGCCGCTAGGCGTGCTAACTGCGGTATAGGGTATATCCCGTTCTCGCATAAGGATTTGATAGACGCCATCCATCAAATCCATGGACGAAAAGATGGTACTCTTTGACATACCATCAATGATTACGTCCTTCCTTAGTATCGGCGTCTGAGCCGGTACCGTTGCAGCATTCAACTTGTTAAATGCATGCACTATCCGCCACCCTCCTGTTGCTTTTCGCACACAGAAGGTCGGAGAGCTATGTGGGGAAGTTAATTCCCTCACATGGCCCGCAGCTAAACGATCGGCAAAGAACTTGTCGATCGCAAGTACTTGTTCACGAGGCAGTGGCCACTGCTTCATGACACAGTACTTCGAGCCTGGTTTAAGCTCGACCTCGTGTCGAATACCTTTATCCTTCGGTAATTCGCACGGAACAGTTTCAGGGAACACATCCTTGAATTCAACCAAATCTTCATAGAGAGGATTTGTCTTGAGCGATTCCCACGATTGGGAGTCATATCGCTCAATTCGTGTCTTTTCATCTAGGACACTCTCGTCCATAGATGAACTACTGAGAACTCTCTCGTTCTCAGTAAACACTGTTGCTGACCTTATGTCGGTTACACACTCGTCGTCAGCGACGAGTACGCAGATCTGCTTGACTTTGCCACTACGCAGATCACGCAAGAACCTTTTTTTTGTTCGAGCGTTGGCAACTGAGTGATCTCCGAAGTCAACTTCGGAGGCGCAATCAGATCAAGTGTATAAGCGCCTACACTTGATCCGTTATTGACTATGACATTCAATGTCTCTGTCATTTCCTGGGGACTTATTCCCTCAGGCTTCGAAGGACTTATTCCTTCGGCTCCCCGGGGACTTATTCCCGCGGGTTTCGGGGAACTTATTTCCACCGTATTTGTAATCTTGGGACTTATTCCCTTTACTTCCTCTAGCTGGGGTTGCGCAATCACAGCGAGATCCTCTACGAAAGACTCTCCAGTCGATCTAGGATTATCGTTTCGCTTAACCTGAGCGATCGATTGTTTCTCTTCTAGATGTTCCCCGCACCGAGTGACGATCGCACCAGCGGAAGCTGCGAGTCTTCCATCGCCAGACAGATGCTTGCAAACGCTTTCCTCGCCTTACGCTTGTACGTCACTTGGATCTTGGACGTAAGACAGTGCTCTGTCGAGACGTCGCCTCGTCACGTTCCACAGGTCGCAATCTTCCAGCACCATCTGCATCTTGAACTTTCACACGTGGAATTTAGTCCTTTGAACTTGTCTATGCGGGCGGACGTCGTCGAGACGGCCACGGCGGATGCGAGGAATTCTGGCGCAGAGTCAAATAGATTGGGACTTATAACCTGTTAAATCCAAAAACACATTACAGAAAGACTTTACTTTTATAAGCGTGCCAGACGCGTTTCGACCCGCCGCCGCGGGCTTCCTCAGTGGCTTACCGAATGCAGAATGAGACCTCTCAGTTCAGCGGCCTATGTCGCTGCCACAAATTTCCCTACACATATGACATTCTGGAACTACCTATTATACGGACTAATCTAGCACTATCGAGTAGACTTCACCGGTGTACAACTAATACCCGGCGAGGTACGAAATATCAAAGCTCAATGCTCCCCCTTGCTGGTGAGAGTGTGCGACTTGGTACCCGCCGCTGATTGTGCTCTTGTTGGCTTTTTATCTCGACCGTCTTGTCGAAAGTGCATAACTGGCTGCTTGTACTCACGCGTTATCCTTGCGCTGCCTTGAGCTACCCACCAGCCTATCACGATGCTTTCCGCCCTCGCATTGACCCGCTGGACTCGTCGGCGGTCGAATGGTCCACAAACTCTTGACGATACCTCGTCGTCCTGCACTTCCTTTAGCCGTCCTTGTACCTTACTTGTCTTATTTCCTTTCGATATCGGACTTGGCTCCGCATCTTGACTCGACTGCAGCCGCACGAGCTCCTTCTTGCCTAGTGCCGCCATCCTTCCCCTATGTGTGCTCCCCCCTGAGCACGAAATGTATCACTTGCACCAATCATACAAATCGCTCGGACCTTTATCATGCGCTCTTTGTTTTCACACGTGTGCAGCCGCGCCTGCCCAAGAATGGTGACCCACGCGCAATCTTGGGCTCATAAACTGTAGTATTTGCTGGTGTGAGGTGAATTGCAAAGCCAATATATTCAGGTCCTTAGTTTGCAACTTCTTCTTGCTACTTTAAGCTTAATGGATTCTTCGACTATACAATAGTAATCGACACTACGCGCATTACTCATTGGATGGTCGCACATGGGTAATTAACTCTATACCGTTACTCTTTCGATAATCAGGTATAAGTAACCATGAATAAACATGTAACTCATGTTATTCATAGGATGGGCGCATTACTGATCACCAAACCGTACCTTTAAATTTGTTGCTTGCTGGCCGAGGTGTTTTCGTAACAACAGAAGGGACACCTAGCCATGTTAATTTACAGACAGACACAAACGCACATTTTTAAGCACGAATTGAAAAGTTTGGCGTTCAGACCGCGCACATTAACTTATATTGTCACCCTTTGGACCCGCCATGAGCCCAAACAACGTTACGCGTAAGAATCAGGATAATTCGAAGACCGTATGTACTAAATAGTCATTGTCATCCTGGTTGAACTCGGACGCAGGAAAGGCCAATTGCAATCAATTTAGAATTTGATCTTTTGGGACTCCCGTGCGCTGGAATAATGAGGATTTGACCTGATGTATACTTGTTGTGACAGGGACGTGAGATGTAGTGTGGTGCACTGAAAGTACTAACGGACGAGGGTCCATTGGGTCGTCGAAGTTGGGATCCGATCACTTTTTGACGCGCAGTACACACCTGAAAATCAAGAATTCTTACGTGTCATATTTTAGATTACTACCATCTGCATCTATTGCCGGTAGTCTATTTTTCTCAAATTGGTTTCGGACCTATTTGAGGTGACCTGTATTTGATCGAGAATTTTAGCTACGGAGCTGAGGACTTTGTCGGCAGGAGATGCACCTTTGCTAATCGTGCACATCGCGACGAGTTTGCTTTTCTTACGTGTTGCGGTAATCGTGTGCATGTGTAGAGAGTGCAGTGGATGATGGCTCTTTTAATGCCTTATAGGTTGTTGCACCGTTTGATGAAGCAATGCGCGCAAATTATATGAAGCGGCGCAGTAACACGCTCACAGCATGGACCTCAGTGATGTACAAGATAGTGAGTCCCAAAATAAAGTTGTTGTTTACGGGGCTAAAGATGCTGGGGCTTATTTGTTATTAAAAGACAACCTAGTTCTGTTGCCGGTGCTAGCGCTGCAGGTCGTTCGCAACAGTGCCTGGATCTTAAAGTAGGTGACCACACACAGAAGTTGCTACACGTGCTTGGTGAAATGGACAAACGTCATCATTTGATGTGGATGTCGCTTGTTGTGCTGCTGTACTGCTGCCCATCATAAGGGCCATTCACCAGATGTGAGTTGCTGCTGCGACATACGGCAAAGGTTTGCTAACCTTCGAAAACGCGAGCAATTGTGCTCAAAGCACCTACTGTTTATTTCCTACATCTATGTGACTCGGCACTCGTTGGCGTCGTAACTGCTGCTAGCAAGCTTGTCTAAAGAATCGACTTCGGTTGGCTGTGGCTTTAGAGATCTAATGGTCTATTTTTTATCAGCATCACTGGCTAACGCTTTCGACTGTTGCCGCTCAACCCGAACCCCTACTCGGAAGTGCCCATGCACGAAGATGCTCCTGATGAGTATGCTATAGAGGAAGACGATATCGTACTGGACTTGAGCAGTGTTCAGAGCAATGACATTCGCTCATCCGTCTAAGTGCACCATCTCAAAGTCTTGCAAGCTTTTTGATGACGAAGTCAAACTTTCTGGAGCATGTGGGATAGACCAAAAAGGAGATGGCAGCGTCGACAGCGGTGCGTAGATCGCGCCGTACGATGTTTAAGCGTGCACTGGACGATCACCCGAATAGGACGGTCAGTTAAGGATGAGCTACCATGCGGCGCTGATGGGTAGATCAGGCAACATTGATACAATAGCGGTACTTAAAGTGATCCTGAAGCGGCACGAAGTGAATGTCCAACCTATTGCAAAGTCTATCGATCGGGCCGCAAGTGCAAATTTTGTGTAGACGTGAGGGCGACAGCGAACAGAGCCGCGCTTCCGTCGTGACGTATTCTACTGCGTCTCAACAGAAACTTAATGTGTATACCGATTTGAACACTTAATGTTGACAAGGACAAGGCTACGGTACTCTTAAAGGAACGCGCTCGTGATCACCTGATTGGCCTTCGAAATACATTCAGCTCTCATCATAAGGTACCTGTCTGTCCACCCCCAATTTAGATTTATAAATAGAGATGACCTTATATTAGGGGACATTCTACAGCCACCCCCAATTCGGATCTTATGGAGGGAGGATGTTATATCAGGGGATATTATAGAGGGAGCTGACTGAAGTCGGAAAGTAGCTGATCGAAAGAATTAGAGTTATGTACTGCATTGCAATGCGATTCTGTCGAAAGGAAGTGTGCATATAGGTAAGGTGTAGCATGGCAACCTTAATATTAGATGAGCTTGTGCCATCCCAGTATCATTGCCCACTTCCGATTAGCTGTAAGCTCGAACGAAAAAGTTTAGGGGAACTAAATCTAAAACTAACTGTGCGCTAAGTAAATGCCAAAGTCTTAAGAATCTACTTTTTGTCTTTCTGTTGTGTTGCTGTGAATAACGCAGTGTGTGCATTACACGTCGTACGAAGTGCGATGGAGCTTGATAAGTGTCGCCCTTTGGGTGGTAGGCTAATAGGAATGCGAACGCATTGAGAGAGTAAGTCAGTACACCGCATCAAATCTGGCGCTTAACAGGCGCAAACGTGACTACGTGCACGCATAGGGATAGCTTAAAGAAACTCGATACTTAGTTGCAGCGAAAATCTCACACTTTTCGAAAACATTTAACATGATCCGATTTTTTCTTGGTATTTGACAAACTAAAACAAAAATTAGTAATAGCCACCTTTTTCCGACGAAAGAGGGAGATCCCACAATTTTATTGACCTTGATTTTGATTAACAATTCGCTATCGGCCTCAATTTGCGGTCGAAAGCGTTGCCGAGAAAGATCATTTCCGTCCTGTTTTCTCAATCATTTAATTTTTTGAGACATCGACAAACAGCCCCGAGTAGCTTTATCGCACAACAATTCATCAGCACCTTCATTAATTACTAAACATAGCATAACCCATTTCATCGCGTCGTCACCTAAAATGGGTACGCGTATTTACAGAACTGTAGTCAGTCCTCTGGACTGCATACCTTATGTCAGATAGCGAGCCCCAGGGCACGCGATGTTGTCTTTAGTAAGTCGCGAAGCACCACCGGCAGCTTTATGTAGCGCCCTCATCGCTACGAGATTTCTTGACATTAGCTCAATAGGTATTTATAATGAGCTCGATTTATACCTACGCCTGTTTCGATCTCCGCGTATTCGATGCGGTATTGTAAATGAATGAGACTTCTTCGATGGATATGTGGTATCGTGGACATCAATGGGTAAAGTTATAGCCCACCGAACGCTTCGCGTTATTGACTTAAGTCGACCATTTTTTGCGGTACTAATCAGTCACTAAGCGGAACTAACGACCCGAAAATACCCCTTCGACTAGGGCCCCCAGTCATACCCTACCGGATAACCACTATTCACTGAATACTCTTGAAGCCAGTCGGTCCAGAGACCCCGACTATTTGATATAGGTGGTTTATGCTGCTACGAGAGGCCGAGCTCATTGGTAGTGGGGTTCCCAGGGTGGTACCACGGAGACTTATGTGTCGCACAATTTTAACGACCTTCGGTTGGTCGTTTGTGTCAATCTTGTACAGTGCAACAAGAATGATCTAAAAAAACTCTAGAACGGTCCACCATGGTGACGATTTTGGAACAAAACCGGCAACATCTGTTTGTGCCAGCGACTATAGCATTAGTGGGTACCAATTGCAGCCGCAACATATTAACATATTTTTCGAAGAATGCTGCGCCTCGCACCGTGCCCGGGCGCACATAACTTAAATTGCATTTTTCTACAATACGAATAGTTTATACGTATCGCCATGATCGCACAAGTTTAATGCCAAAAAACTGCAAGCCAGGGGAGGAAAGGGATCAGCACAAATTGTGTATAATTAGTGGAAATAGACATCATGATTAGAAACACTTAAACCATTTTGTAAGATTTTTGGGGTGTGTCTTTGTCTTGTCTGGAAGAAATGCTGCGCACGTGTTCCCCCGATATGTCATTAGCAACAAGAGCAGCCTTGCGCGACACTGGCATCTTGTTGTACCATGTCCATCACGTCGTTCTATTTTTGCGAATGACTAGGCCTGACTTACTAAAGTCGTCGTGCGGGCGTTTTCGTTCAGCCTTCTGATGTCACACTTGCACCCTACAATTACCTCTAAGTCACGGTGGTCCTATTGCACAGTTCCCGAGAACTGTCATTATTAGGATCAGATAGTATAGTACAGTGATGCAGTGTGATCGTCAACATTGGTTATTACAAAATGGAAGTGCTTAACACGCTCGACAGCATTGGTATGAGGTCACCGAGTATCAAGAAGGACCAATCTTGTTCTTATACGCAACAAACATGCTTTTACGAGTCTACAGGATAAGAAAAAATGCAAGTCATCCAGCCCACTTGAGTTCCGAGGAGCGTCTGTATCTGGACGAGTTGGGCCTGTGGCACCGAATCCAATATCGAAAAGCCCGATGCTTCACCATCGCACGACATTTTACCTGCAGTTTGTCTTGCCCAAGCGTCGACATCAACCCTTTGTAGAATGCAGCAAGCAAAGTTTTGGATATGTAAAGAAAAGAGACACGCAAGTAAGCCTTACACCTTTGTATATTGCCTTACTTGTGTAAGGGATCAAACACCTTGGTTGGTCGTTTAATCAGCCATCCGGTCTTGATGCTCTCGACAATTCTGTACTTCGTGCTTTCCATCGCAACCGTATCTTTACATAGTGCATTCTTCTAAGAACGCGTACTTTTGTGCGCAAATTAAGCCGCACTTGTCAAATACATGCGTTCGACATTTCTGTACGGTACACTCCTGTATACGCCAATTCTCGTTTTACCAGGGTCCAGACACGCACTAAAGCTCAGAGGCACATCCATTCTGGTCTTGGTAATCTTGAAATGCAGCGCGTGGCGATGTGCATATAGGCCTAAGCTTATCTCATGTCAAGTGCTCGCGCGTCAACGGATCTATCGATCCATTTGAGCGCAACTGTTCTTCTAAACAGAGTCGTTTGTATAACTAGGTGGTGTTGCGTACAACATTGTCCCATGATTGGGAATATGCATGTTGGGACAATGCGGGTTCAACTAGCGAACGACAATGTTATCACGGATGGTTGAGACGTTAATGTTGCAGTCGTGTAAGCTTCTAGATACGGATTTCTAGAAGCTAGTATACATACATGTTTGCAGTACTACAACAAGTAGATAAGACCGAAAGAGAAAGCTAAACGAAGATTCATTTCCAATTTGTGCTGCAGAAGACAAGCAAGTAACTAAGTATTAAAGTATTTATCTGCTGCATAAGAAATCAATTACAAAGTCATTCGTCTACATCCATACACAGAAAAAAAGCTTGGTAACGTACGCGGCGTCGGTCGCGTTGTCACCGGATCACACATGACTTCCATGATAATAGGCGCATGAGTTAGTCGGGAAATTCGCCCGGGAACATGTCTTCTCAAACGTTTCCGTCATGTGCCAACATACGCCATCAGTGCGTCCACCTAATCACTAGTCGCCACGATTTTTAGTACTTCAGCTGTCTGCTTGTCCCCGGAGAACCGACGTAATTGACTCATAGCATCTTCTTGGACAGCGATTCGCTGCTTCTGCTCGAAACATCACTAGTACTTATTGACTCGCTTCATTTCCGCTACAATGTCGTTCTTAAACGACACAGACTTTTTGAAGTCTTTTCAGCACCACTGAGTGCCTTTGCAGTGTTTCCACGGCCATATCAAAGGCCAGCAAGTGCATGAATCTTCTGCTCAAACTGTAACTGGCTCTGGCATCGAGCTCATCAAATATTAGCGCTGAGTAGCAGTCATCTCAGCAGCCGCTGCGTTTCTCGAGCCTACAATGCAAAGGGCACCGGTAAACTAGTATGTGGAGCGTCCTGGAGCCATAACCTGTTTTACGGTAGCGTAATACAAGGAAAAGCAAAGCGAAAGCGAGGTATGAGATAGTACTGAAACATTTACACGTAAGATTGTCTCTGTATACACGTCAACGGCAGCGCCAAAAATTTGCCCTTGTGAAAACAAATGTTGCTTTGCAGCTTTATGCTGCTTAGCTCAGTCCGCGGTAGACATGAGGATTTCGAGAAGAATTATGTTCGCTTCAAGCCAGCATTGCTACATTTGTAAGAAATCGACATAAAGGCGATCGAATATATTTCGGTCACTTAGTGTTTGACTATTGAAGTCATGTCGAGCGTCGTATAGTCGCGAGCCCGCAGGGTAAAGCCATTAGTGACTGCGCGCAAGGTTGAATGTCGAAGTTTTGGATCGTACTTATTAGTGTGTCTGTGTGTCATTAAATTATGCGGTTAGGTGTAGCAACCCGTACTAAGTGCGAGCTAGCCGTCCCCCCCCGTAGTTATAGATATGTCCGGAGTCATTTTTTGACAAGTCACCATTGTGGTGCAATAGTGACCTAGCCAATGACTGACTTCGGATGCTTAAGATTGGCTTAAATAGATCAAGGTGAAGAGGTTGACGTAAACAAATGCTGGACGCTTATTAACAAAGGCCGATCGCGTTGCCCAAGTATACTATACTGGGGTATTACAGACAGTAAGAGAATCATACTCGTTCTTCAGTGAATACTATTGTTGAGTGTTTTGCAACCAATTGATGTCTCCGAACTGGATTACTTACATCAAAGGGACAGATCCAGAGCTCGCTCCCCTACTTTAGCTCCATAAAACAGGTTCTCTATATGTCAAGTGATCGGACCGAGTGAAAGCGTAAAAAAAATGCGATGGAAAAACCGTGCCGAGAAGAATTTGCTAGTCACTGTGTCGAAGAAAAGAGATCTGCGTACACAATGCACCCAGTAAACCTTATTTTTACCGGTTGCTAAAGAGGTTCTCGGCCTAAGATTTCGCCTCAATTAGGAGCACCTGTGCACGACTGTGTCATGCTGTTGGCAGAGAGATCGCAAATAATTTTCGGTACGATGCGGAACACTAGTGCAACGAGGACCTCCAAGCAGAATTATTGTGTTTTCAAACCAAGTAAACAGGAGTCGCTTTTGTCTTTGACTTTCCCCCAGCCATTTTTACCTTCTCAAAGAACGCCCACACCGGAAGATGAAGACGTCGTATTGTACCTGCAAATCGCAAAGAATGTGTTAGAATTAGTAGCATTACAGAGAAGGCGTATATGAAGCTTTTCGAGGGAACAATGGACCTTTAAGACTGATTGCGTACATGACAGTACCAATTTGTGCCAAGTCTACTTCATCTTTGGGGCAAGACTATTACGAGTGAGCGATGGACAGCGAATGTGTTTGCAGCACAACCTCCTATTTCAAACCTTGACTGGTCATTAATAAGTATTGGTAAAAGACCGTTTATAAATGAGGCCTTGTTTTAAACGTTTTTCACGGTAGAAAAAAGTAAAATGTTACTGGTAAGGACTTATTACCTAATATCCCGACTCTAAGCGCGCAAAAGCCAAAAACTGGGCACAAATCTGACACCACCCTTTTCACGTCGCCAAGGGGGGAGCAAAGCATCTGATGAGCTTGTAAAAAGGTCAAAAACACTGGCCGGAGCCGATCCCTCTATGATCGGATAAAAATTTCACCGTCCAGCTCAAGCCATTCTATTTACCCGTTCGGGGGCCGCCACTTCGGAGGGAATCCTCCCGATAGGGGAGCCGACGAGGTCTGGACTCTGCCTCGAGCGCGCTGCACTCGCAGTCTCGGATGTGGGGGCAGCGGACCGACGGCTCGCGCAAGCGGTCAGGAAGGGGAAGTTTACGGAATGGAGGCGTACCCCGCGCCAAGTGTTACCGCTTTGGCGGTCGCACAGTCCAAGTCCTGGGGGTCGCGCAAGCGGCCAAGCCGGGGCCCACCATCGCAGATGGATGGGCCCCAGTGGAGAAATTACGACGGGTAGGCGTTCCCCACGCCTCGTAGTTACTTTGGTGACTACATTCTACGTCGATGGGCCGCGCAAGCGGCAGAAGGGGGCCCGCTATCGCAGCTAGGGAGTCTCTAGGGGATGAATTACGGAGGGTAGGCGTTTCCCCCCGCCATCGTCATCGCCTCGGCCATTGCGACATTTAGCTCGGACGGTTGCTTTAGCGGCCACAATGTAGTCTGTCGCCGACTTAAGTGGCATTCTTAAGGCGTGTAACGTAACTTCGGTTACTCGCGCTATAGGTGACCGCATAGCGCGGCCAGCCGATTCGGTTGGGCGTCCTTTTTGGACGTCTTGATATCTTTTGCTGCATCGGGCAGCGTTGCTCTGAGAGCGCTTGAAAGATAGGCTCAAGTCTGTCTTCAGCTGGATGTTTCTAACTTCCGCTACCCTCGCCCCCGGCTCTTCGGAACAATCACGTTGTAGATCCGGTTTCGGATCGCACTTCCTGGAATTTCAGTCGTCAGTTATTTGTAATAACAATGGACACTCTTGTAAAATAAATAGATAAATATATAGATAATAAAGCTGAATTAGTAGAAACTCGGCTGGTATCTCTCGCGACGAATGTGAGTGGACCGGACACTCCATACACACAACATGTTGTGGGTCCAATACATGTGAGGGCTGACACCGAAAAAGTGTCACTTCAAGTTAGTGATCTGATCCGTCGGAACTGGCCTGCTATTTAAAAAAAAACGTGGGTAAAGGCTAAATCAATCCTGTTATGTGTGAGCTGCTCGCTCGGATAATGCGCTGCGCCCAAAAATTGCCACTTCGACGGCTTTCCTCGACCAATGGTTAAGCGGAACTTATTCCTACGAAGTTCTAACGTCGACTGATTGATTTATTGTCCGGTACTTCGCAACACCTGTACATTGATAGAGCAGCTCTAGCAGCGCCGTTGTCGACCCATGCAGGGCCATCTGGTTTTGGTTTCCAACGAGATTGTCGCTACGATCTACCGCCCAATAAAGATATCTGCATGTAGGAAGCATAGCTTATAGGCTTGATTGGATTTCGCCCAAGCCGCTTGAAATGCAGACGCAAGACTAAATGTTGCTTACCGTGTGCAGTATCGCAATTCTGTAACCCACCGCTGCGCATCAAATCCCATCAACAGCGATTGTGTCACACGCTCGAAAAAAGATCAAGTATTTATCAGCGCACGATGTCCCTTTATGATCAATATATAACATGTCGATTTGCCTCTGTGCTTGTTGAGGCCAATCGTCACTATCGCTATCTGACGAGACGAGGTCTGCCACTCGTAGACACAACAAGTTCAAATGGCGAGCATCAATGTTTGTTTGTGCTTTACTTATCAGAAAAGGTATCACACCTATAAGACTTTTACCTGGCAGGATGCTTCCTTTTGGTCAGTGCAGCTTGCTGTTTATTCAGTCATTTGCCCTTATCACTGTGCACGTAGTCGAGTCGGGGCGCGAGTGTTGCTGGAGACATGGAAGTAGCCTGACGCCATATGCTGAGCAGTATCCGCACAAATCGACTCCGAGCGTTCTTCGTCTGGCGATTTGTTGGTTTGCGTCAGTGCAAAATCGCCGCAGCCTGAAGCCACATCTGGTCCGTGGACATGGATGTTTCAATAGCTCGGAGAGTCGGGTACGCATCAAAGAGCAGAAACTTCTCGCGTGTCGGTGACACGACAAGCAGTGCACAGCTTTGTGGCTGCAACGGCTATAGCCAAATTTTGGCATTGACTGCACATGCTTACTGCAACTATGCAACGTGGATAGAGGGCAGAAGTAGTAACGACGCACTGACGTTACGGCTCTAATGTATCCAAGGCTTTCTACAGCATTCTAGTCCGAATACGTGCACGAAAGCAGCCGCCGCACGAAGTCTTCCTGCTGTCGGCCATCATCCTTGAACTTCGTCACCACCCATACTAAAACCAAGTCGTTGCGACCCCATCAGTTGATGCTTACGCCATTCGGTATCGCAGCAAAAAAAGCATCGCCTGGTTAGAGGCAGTCTTTTGCTACTGCGACTGTAAAGCAGCTGCATCTGGACGCCATTTGGTGATTGCTAACTGTGGACCGCCCAAGTCTTCCTAAAGCTGAAGCACGGGACAAAGCTTTTGGGTCCCTAAACCACCCACCAAGTGACTTCATTAATCAATTTGCGCTCGACTACAAACTGTTTGGCTTGAACATCCGCCCACTTTTGACATGAAAGATTTTTATCTCCGCGCACTCTTCGCTGCCAGCGTGCTGTCCACCATCTCTGACCGCGCGTATGGTGGTATTGAGCCAGATCCTGTGGCTTATGGCGCTCGTACCCTTGAACGAGAGGCGGTCTACAGACAGCTGAGGGCCCGTGACGACGTCAACACCCTGCGAGAAGAACGATTTAAAGTGGAGAAAATTGAATTGGAACTTAAGGCTGCTCTCGAAGCGGCTCACAATTTGTACTTTCCTCCACCCGCCGCAGTTGAGGCGACTACTCGCCTCGGGCTTGTGGACAGCGTCATCATGCCTGACCGGCCTACCATGCTTTTGCCGGGTATGTCCCACGACGCTGCCGTTGCTTCTCTGGAAAACATACCTATAGTGGACGCAATACGTGAGCTCTCACGAGCGTATAAATACCCGCAAACCGAAAAATTGGCTGCCAAGATCTATGAAAAAGTGCAAGATCGTGCAATTCGTCAGGCCGAGGCTTGGGGGATCTGATGAGGCAAGCAAGGACTGTAGAGGAGCAGGACGAATTAGAACAAAAATTTGATGAGCTTAAGTCAGAGATGAACAAGCTCGCGGCCATCATTAAAGGAGCCGATGGCAAGAGCCAGTAGACTTCCTATGGCTGACCTGCTACACATAGCATACGTATGAAATAATGAACGTTCTTTCTTTTCGTGTTTGTTCTTAGGCTCTCAAAGCTTAGCTTTTTGCGTGACCTTGCCTACTTGTTCGTAGTTGACGACTGTTAAAATATCGAAGCTATCACATTCGTAAAACTTGAAGAAATGTGAAGGTGATAGATGAATAAACGGCTAGGGGTGGTCTACTACATATGTGCAAGCAATTTGCAAGCGGATGTTCCAATAACCACTAAAACATAGTGGCAAATGCTGACAAATCATCTAAAGGCAGATAATTTGTACAGTATGTTATGACATTATCTAAAGTGTAGCTGCTACAAAGGAATGTAAGGTAAAGGTAAGTGCCGATAACATTTTAGAGCCAATCTGAGTGCTCGTACCTCCGCATGGGTAACTTTCTAAACATTTGTACCTTTTTCAAATCTCGTAATAAAACCTGCTAATATTGCGTGGTACTGAACTCTTTTACATCAAACAATTAACATGGCTGAGTACACGCTGACTGTAACGGGGTGAGCGTGTTACATGTCATTAATTTTGATACTTGAACCCCGAATGTTGCCAAAGGTTGACAATTGTAATAAGCACCCTTGTTTGGGGTGCCACGAAACATCACGTACACTAGTAAGTACAGAGGAAGCTAATTTACTCAACAACAACGTTGAGTAAAGGGTAAAAAGAGAACTGTATTTCATACAGTTAAGCTATCAATATAACTTCAATCTTTATCGAACTATGTTAAACTACGTCATCGTGCGACGACAACCTGCTCACCACTCATTGCGCGCGTCCAGCAGCGATTGGTGGTAACCTTTGGTCGATATGTCTTTTATCAACCAATCTTTGAGCAGCGCATGAATCTTATCCTAAGGGGATAATATTCCTTCAATTTTACCATTCTCGGATAATATTGGTAGGATATTGTCATGCTAGACAACGTCCCTATTGACACCGTTTGGTGTCAATTTCATGTAACGGGCTACCCCGTTACAGTAGGGGTGATCGCGCTGTAGCGACTCTAATAGTGAGTGTTCTGTCGTCGAATCTGCTCGACGACGTGCGAAAAGCATACGCAGAAGATGAGTCTCTTCTGCGATTGATGGATTACGTATCCAATCCATGCAGTCAAGCTCTGAAAAGATTGTCGTCTTTATACCGCTCTAGAATCGAACGGTATTCTGTTCGGGATGGACTGCTGTACTCTACAGCAGTCAACGGTGACACACCTCGTGCCGTCGTTACCGCTCAAGATGATTGCGATAGCGCATCGTGTATGAGTGTCACGATGCCCCAACAAGTGGGCATCGCGGTAGAGAAAAGACTAACCTCACGGTAAGTCGTGACTTCTACTGGCCCCTCCAGTATGAGTTCGTGCGGAAAAACATTCGCGCTTGCGGTTTTTTTTAATGGGCGAAGCCTAGTCCTTCATCACGCGCACCCTTGCAGCCTCTACCGATTCCGGCAGAGTGCTGGCAGTCCGTATCGATGATATACGTCTTTGGGTTTCCCAAAGACGCTCACAAGAATACTGGTATTCTTATGTTTTTTGATCGGTTCAGCAAGATGGTACAGCTTGTTGCTGTACCGGATTCAATCGCAGCCCAGGGCTGTGCGCGTGTCTTCATCGATACTATTTTCCGACTTCACGGATTACCCCGTAAACTCGTGTCTGATGGGGACCCCCGCTTCATAGCGGAGTTCCGGCAATCCGCATTCCGTTCACTTATAACACAATTGTCAACTTCTGAACATCCAAAAACAGATGGTCAGACAGAACGCTTCAACAACGTCCTCGAAGCGATAATTTGATGGGATGTCTACTCGTTTTCGAGTTGGAGTGAGTTCTTATCGATGGAGGAATTCGCCTTCAACAATGAGGTACATGCGTCGACAACGCATACACCGTTCTACGTGAATGGCCTACGCCATCCACGTTCACCCGCCTTCTTAGATTGTGACTCTCGTTTAAGGGGGAGGGTGGACTCGCTCGAACAAAAACAGATCTGGTTCTTGCTCATCACCCGTCGACAATGGTGTTGACGTGATGGATGCCGATGTCGATGGGATCGACACCGATGACGATGACGACGATGCTGGTATACTCAGCATCGCCAATGACTTCCACAGTGAGGACGATGACGCCCTCACTGGTGAATGCAACGTTCTTTCAGCAGTGCACACAAAGCGCACAGACGTTAACAAGGATAAATCAGCTGAGGAATTTCTACTGACTCGCAAAGCGGTTATCCGCTTTGTTCAAGACTCTATTGCAGATGAACTAGACAGGCAGAAAAGAAATGAAGACCAACATGGAAAAGCGAATGTTCTTTCATTCAACGAAGAAGACTTAGTTATACTGTTAGCTGTAAATATACCGAAACACGCAGTGACAAACGTGGGCAGCAGTAAACTACTGCCCAAGTATATCGTCCATTTCGTGTGTTGCGCCGTATGGGCAATGCATACACGTTTGATCTGCCCGTAAGATGTGTACGCATCCTACGTTTTACGTTGGACGTCTCCTCCCGTACTATCAGTACGAACCCGTTTCGAGAGGCGAAGAACACCTCCACGGTCAAAGACCGAGACCACCTTCGAGTGGTCCCGTTTTAACGAGACAGTCTAGTCGACAAGAAAAGTGATCTGCTCACACAGTTGAGCGATGTCTCGACGAGCTGCAGCCAGCTCGTCACGAAGAGAACGAGTCGAACCTCCGTTCTCAAGTTGTGCAAACGCAAACGCGGCACGATCGTCCGAACGATCATACGCCAAGGAATTATTATCATCATTCACAAGGTCATGGAGCTCGTAACGCCGAGTCCGTCCATGAGCCAGGCCATCGTGTAACTTTTCCTTTACAAGATTCAGTTTCTGAACATCAAGCCGATCCGACCCTCGAGCCGGATCAGGTGTTCCCGCCACCACCACATCCTTTGGTGACTCAAGCGGTGGTCAACGCTTTCTAGTGGAGTGTATTTTGAACCACCGCGACGTGAAAGGCGTCCAGGCGAGTTACCTCATCCGCTGGCGTTGATATCCACCGGCCTGGGACAGCTGGGAGCCTTGCACTTAGCTGACGGTTGATGTTCCGGGTCTCGTCGAGCAATATGACGAGGCCCGTCCCGCTGCGTTCGAAGAAAGGCCGTCGGTAATGACCTCCCCGAACGCGAGTACAGGATTGCAAAGTGTCAATTCCTTCGGCCATCTCAAAAGATACGCGCACGCTCCAGTAGGGATCATTAGGGAGGTAGACCTCCCCAAGGGAACATTTAGCATTTTTCAGGCAACCTGGACACGAATCACCCCACGAGGGACAGGTTAATCCTGCCTCTCTTGTCAGCCAGTGCAACTTGTATTGCACCCCGACTGAGTTGCGCTTCTCATACCTGATGCGAGCTGCATCGAATTTGGCGAGCCAGGCCTCACGGCCAATGCACTCGATGTTGTAGATGCGGGCATTCCATCCCTGCACCTAGGCTTTGCCGTCTCGAGCACGGCTACCATTGTACCACCAATGTTTGAAGAATGCATCGGTGCAGAAATTTTATTCAGCACGGATAGTTTTCGTGCTGGAATCAGGTAGGCAAATCTTCCTGCAATCGAATAACGGGATTCGATACCGGGTCGGTGGTCATGCCGGCCACTCGATCCAACTCTCTGGCTGACGGCATCCACGGAGACTCCACTTGAGAAGAGTGGCGCAGGACATTTCGGTCCCTGGCCTCTTGATTGGTGCCAGCATGAGCACTGACACCAGTGACAGCTCGATCTCTCGTGTTACTTCGCTCGTGGTGATGTATAGGGGCACCACCACCATCACCACGCGTACTATCGTTAGATGCACGTGCGCGAGTCATGGATTCGTCAGACGAATCTCTCTATTCGAACATCTCGAGTATGATGCCGCCACGTTGGCCAGAGCCAGTCGACCTGGCTCTTGCATTCTCCGCCCCGGGAGATCCGGAGGCGTGAGGTGTCGTCTTCGAGTCGGATGCATCATCTGACTAGCCAGAATAGATGAGCTCTATTTCAGACTCATCTGGATTACGATTCGCGGTACCCGCTGTAGACGCAGCAGATGTACCTGTCGCACGTGGTGACTCACCACGTGGACTGTTCACAACAACAAGTGACGATTTACCTGCTGCTGTGGTGTGAGAAGTACTTTCTCCAGTTGCACGCATGCGTCCAGCCGCCTTTCTTGCTGCTGGAGTTGCAACTCGCTTGGGTTTCGAAACCATGCGTTAGATTGACAAATGAATGGAATTTGACCGACAACTGCTCCCTTTCCCAGATTGATCCAACGGTGGTCACCCTGTCCCAATCAATTCTGATTCAATCAATGGGTGATTGATGGTTAAGGGGGGGAAGGAACGGGGTAGCCCGTTACATGAAATTGACACCAAACGGTGTCAATAGGTACATTGTCTAGCATGACAATATCCTACCAATGTTGACCAAGATGGATAACATTGAAGGATTATTATCCCCTTAGGATAAGATTCATGCGCTGCTCAAAGATTGGTTGATAAAAGATCTTTCAACCAAGTTTACCACCAATCGCTGCTGGACGCGCGCAATGAGTGGTGAGCAGGTTGTCGTCGCACGATGACGTAGTTTAACATAGTTCGATAAAGATTGAAGTTATATTGATAGCTTAACTGTATGAAATACAGTTCTCTTTTTACCTTTATTTGACCGAGTCGTTTAAGTAGATTAGCTTATTTTACACGTACTGGTGTACGTGAAGTTTCGTGGGACCCCAAACAAGGGTTCCCCGTTACACCTACTGTTGTGTTGAGCAGTCGAGCCGGCGCGAAGAGCATCAGCGAGAACACATTAGTCGTCCTGTTTTTCATTTGACGAAGAAGTTGTACTCCGCGAAGAAAGACAGCCACCTCTCCATTCTTTGCGAGAGGCGTGGACTTTTGTATCGTGCGTAACGACGCATGGTCGGTATAAACGACGAAGGGCCTATCTCGTAGGAGATATACCCGAAACGTTGCCGGTGCGTATTTCATGGCAAGTAGTTCCTTGTAATGCGCCGGGTAATTACACTCAGCTGCTTTCAGCTGACGCAATTGATATCAGACGACAGGCTCAACGCCGTCTGATTCGTACTGCATTACCGCGCAACCGATTGAAAAATCGCTCTGATTTTGTAATCGGCTGCGCGTGGAATAGTTTGCCCTGGTCTGCAACCGCCACCACAGGCGATCACATCAAGCTTTTCTTGATCCCCTTAAAGGAGTGATGACACTCAGCACTCTATGACCACCTCTCGTTTTTCTTTGACAGGCGAGAGAGATGAACAGTCATCTCGGCATAGTTGCGTGAGTACTTGTGTGAGTACGCCGCTAAGACAAGGAACTTTCGAGGTCCCTTGACGTCGACTGGCACAGGTCAGTCTCTGATCGCCTTGATCTTTTCCGGTTCAGGGCGTACGCCGTTTTTATTCACGATGCAGCCAAGAAGTGGTATTTTGTTCGCTGCGAATATACACTTCTTGAGGTTCGCGAGCAACTTATGCTTTCGCATTATCGTAAGAACCTTCCGGACGTGGATTCTATGAACCTCCACGTCCGTCTTTCCATCCATAGTCCGGCTATGGACGAATACATCGTCAAAGTAACTCGGTACGAAATCTCGCACCGATCGCAGCGTATTCGTAACACATCTGTTGAACGTTGTAGGGGAGTTACTGAGCCCCTATGGCATCACTAGCCACTCCCAGAGCATACCACTTTGGGTGCTCACTGCTTTGTACGGGATTTCCCGTTCACGAATGAGGATCTGATAGAATCCATCCATCTGATCCATGAACGAAAAGATGGTACTTTTTGCCATACCATCAACGATGGCGTCCTTCCTTGGTATCAGTGCTTGAGCCGGTACCGTTGCAGCGTTCAATTTGTTGAATGCGTGCAATATCCGCCACACTCCTGTGACCTTTCGCACACAAAAGTTCGAAGAGCTATGTGGGGAAATTGATTCTCTCACGTGGCCCGCTGCAAAGCGATCCGCAAAGAATCTGTAGACTGCTAGTACTTTTTTAAAAGGCAGTGGCCACTTCTTCATGGCACAGTACTTCGAGCCCGGTTTGAGCTCGAGCTTGTGTCGAGTGCTTATGTCCTTAGGCAATTCGTATAATAAACGAATTGCCTAAGGACATAAGCACTCGACACAAGCTCCATATATAAGGAAAACATTCCTAAATTCGTCTAAATCCTTGTATTAAAGATTTGTCAGAAGCGACTCCCAAGTTTAGATGTGTTTCGCTCAATACGAGTCTTCTCATCGAGGACACTCTCGTCCATAAATGAGCTACTGAAAACCCGTTCTTTCTCAGCAAACACTTGTGCCGACCGAATATCGGCGACGTACTCATCCTCTGTGACGTAGATCTGCTTGGTCTTGTCACTACGCAGATCTCGCAAGAATCTTTTAGATTCTAGCGTTGGCAACTTGACCACATCCGAAGCTGACTTCGGGGGCGTAACCACATCAAGTGTGTAAGCGCCTACACTTGATCCGTCATTCATCAAGATAACAACTGAATCGGTGATTTCTTGAAAAAACACATCCGCAGGTGATTGGGGATCCACACCCTCAACATAACTCTCTCGGGAGTTATTGCTCTCAGAAATGCCGGAATTTTCTTCCAATACGTGTCCTGACTGGTAGTGCGCTACCACAGTCATGTCCTCTTCGATCGACTCTTTTTAGTATATCGTGTTTTCCTTACGATCAAATCTATGTTATTCAATCTTGCTTCAACGTGTTGTCCATCCTGAACAACACTAATCTCTCTTCTTGGATGCACCCTTCTTGGTGTGCACCTATGTTCCAACCTACGCGATCTTATCGAGTGGTGAACCTTCGGCGCAGCCTGTGTCTCTGCACAGGTGCCGGAAGCTGGTTTCACAGTGTAGTAGCCTTCTACACTGTGATATTGTGCAGTCGTACTAACGACCGTACCAAAAGTGAGACCATCGCACTCACTGTAGTACATCAACACGTTTGTGGAAGCTCCAAGACGTTAAATAGATAGCCATCTGATGAACAAACGACATGCATCTTCACGGATCGATGCTGCCAGCTGATCCATGACCGGTATTTTCTAAGCCATCGCAGACCGAGGATGACATAAAATCTGTCATACAGATCCAGTACGATGAAGTCATCATCGTACTGTATTCCTTCTAGCGTGTAGTGGATTCCCACTACACTTTTGCTCACTATTACAGATGCGCCTGTAGCAAGGCACACCGTTATCCTCGTTGGAGGGAACTCTCGCTCAACAAAGTTGAGCCTACTATCCCCTAGCGACTGGCGTCGAATAAAACCGTTCGACGCCCCACACAGTCAACTAGGGCGCGAAGTGACATTCCACTTGTCACTTCGATCTTCAAAGTGATGAGAGACTCCTCACCACTAAGGGCAGTAACACACAGTGAATGTGTGTTGTGAGCAATCTTCGTCAAGAGTCCTGCAAATTCTCTTGATTCGCTGGATCAGGGTGCTCCGCCCCTACTGACCCTGTTAGTTTTTTGACGGCCCGACTTGCTGTCGCGGCTTAGCGACATGGTCGGACCCACGCCTCGGACCCTTTCTTGGCCAACGGCAGTCATCACGTCCTGTCTTTATACGTGATGCGGTGCTTGGGACACTACACTCGTAAGCGTAGTGTCTGATCTTCTGACAGCGATGGCACCTTTGCCGATCGCTTGTGACTCAGAGAGCGAGAGTTCTCGCTCTCGATGTAACAAAGGTCCATAGTTTCGGGACCTCCTGTTTCCTGTCGCCTCTTCCGACGATAGTTTGACGAGTTAGCCTGAGACTGTCTCAGGCTGAAGTCTTCTTGTTCCGCATACGCTATCACCTTTTCCAGCGTATGGAAGTCCTCTCGGAACATGTAGGTCTTCACCGGCCCATCTACAAGACTGTAGATGAACACGTCGATGAGCGTGTGCTCATAAACAGGGTTTTCCGTAACGCTACTCGCAAGGTAACGTAGGTGATGTGAGTAAGCGTGCACATCACGCTTACCTTGCTCGATCCTTAGAAGTTTAGAGCGTGCTCTGAAATCGGCTCTTGGCGGCTCGAACGTCTCTTTGAGCCAATACTTTGAGTTCTCTAATGACTCAAACACGTTTGGGACGTGAAGCTTGAGCCCTCAGGCCCAAGTCTTTGCTCGTCCTGTCAATTTGACAGGGCGGAGGTGATTTACATCGCGTCACCCTCGATGTGATCGACCCTGATGGCGTCGTCTGACTCGACGAACCATCTCAAAAGATAATCTCCATCGGTTACCTTGTACCTTGAAGTATCTATCTTCAAGGTTTCGGGCCGACGAATGTGCGTCGGCCCGTCCATCGACTGATGGGAGCCTTTCTGTTGTAGCAAGGCTATCTTCTGTCGTTCTACGGCAAGTTCCCCTTGTAGGAACTTGTTGATAACAGTATGTTGCTGGTCTCTGCTTAGAGACTCCAACATACCACTGATGGCGGGTTCTCCCATGAGCACACTCATGCGGCCGACTACCTCCCATTCTGAGTCACCCATATGGTAGTAGCCTTCTCGTGTGACGTGAAAGCTGTCGTCTTCTACGTCCAACATGTTCATGTTGGACGGACACTAAGTAGTCGTCGAACAGACTATAAAGTGCTACCACGTGTAACGGGGCACCCTTGTTTGGGGTTCCACGAAACATCACGTACACCAGTACGTACAGAGGAAGCTAATTTACTCAACAACAACGTTGAGTAAAGGGTAAAAGAGAACTGTATTTCATACAGTTAAGCTATCAATATAACTTCAATCTTTATCGAACTATGTTAAACTACGTCATCGTGCGACGACAACCTGCTCACCACTCATTGCGCGCGTCCAGCAGCGATTGGTGGTAACCTTTGGTCGATATGTCTTTTATCAACCAATCTTTGAGCAGCGCATGAATCTTATCCTAAGGGGATAATAATCCTTCAATGTTATCCATCTCGGTCAACATTGGTAGGATATTGTCATGCTAGACAATGTACCTATTGACACCGTTTGGTGTCAATTTCATGTAACGGGCTACCCCGTTACATTTAGTGTACGTGAAGTGACGCGCGGCACTATCTACACTGTTGTCTGCGCCAAATGCACTCGTACTAAAGCGATACTAGTGACCAGTGCCCCGTTACAATGTTACGGCTCTCCATCGTACTAACATTTAAAAATACTAGGCACTAGGCGAGCGTACTCGATACTCGCTGCACGTGCACGGCTGCACATATCAGCCAAGGCATCTCGATCGATACATTAAATCGCGTCAACGTACATGACAAAATGACAGCAATGCTCGTTTCACACACGACCATGGACATCATTTTGTGTCATAATTCAAATTATGTGCGTATCAGTCTATCAAGCTCGGTGTTGCTACAGGCTACAAATTCTTTACAAGCTTGACATCGACTGCAACACTATCCAACTATATCTTACTTGATGTCAACTGCAACACTATCCAACTATATCATACGCAAGCATTCTATCCGAACTCGTAGGGGCATCCACGACGCGTCCTACGTCGCTCATACACTATGCCATAAATTTCATTGTACCATTTCTCATCACTGCGTACACAGTCACATCATTGTCGTCAACACAAGTGCTCTTTCGTAGTGCAAAGATACGAAGTATCGCCATCTTTTTGATACCGGCGGAGAGGAAGTTGCTCGTGCGGATAAAAATTATTTACAATAAATCTGGAGCCCGCGAATTACTGGCATAGCTCACTTCATTGTTACTTTAGTAAAGTTAGGTCTCCGATACAATTGGTTCGTCATGGCTCCAATGTCCCAAGTGCCCGGTTATCGTCCATCATTGTCTTTTGCCGTACATGATAAGCTCTATTCGTATTGGCGGCTCCCAAGTTCCGTCCGCTCATCGTTACAACAGACAATTCCTTTGTTTTTCTCGGATGTCAAGGGGGTCGTCGCTGTGGACTGGAATTCGTGGTTGAGCTTTGTCGATGTCAATTGTCAAAATTTCGAAAATAGTGTCAATGAAATCGACAAAACATGGACTCTAGCACTTTATGCCGAGAAATTTCTTGCTCTTGTGTCAGTTCAATTTGACCCGGATCGACATCATTCCAGTTGGCGCAGACTGTGTGAATTGACACATTTTAAAGCTTTGAAATCCGTGGCTATGATGCTGACGGACGACTCAGGAGAGTTTTTCATGGCATTTACTATTGGAGTCACTATCTTGGAAAAAGCATTGTATGATCTGTATGACAAAAAGTCGAACCCGGTAAAGTCTCGGAAAAAGAACATGATTCTTCGAGACTTGCTGCATTCGGATACGCTGGCTGATGCTGTGCCTGAAGGGTTACTGCATCTGCTGAAGGTTTTGTTCTTGCCATCAGGACTGAATCTTCGAAATTTGGTTTGGCATGGATTCATGATACCAGCAGAATTCCCCAAATGTTTTGGATGCCTCACTTTGCTGCTTATCACGGTGCTGTTTGTATTTTCTGATGAAGTTCAGGCCAGAAACACCAGCGAAACTGTGCGTGGGAAACACGCAGCTGAACTGTTTCGTATCGGTAGTTTCAATGGCAAATTCGTCACAAATACGAGCAAATTAAGTAAAGAAGAGGATGATAGGCGACAGCTTTATCTTGCTGCTGTACTTCGCCAGGAACCGCCAACAGTTCGGGATGAAATCATTCGAAGATGGACAAGTGCCACTTTTGTTCCCAAAGGACGGTCTAATCTCCTTCGACGTGCTATTGACGCCCTGGTAGAACAGGGAGACGAGCTGTGGTTCCTTTTTGCTGCGCTTCCCGTTCTCGAGCATGCGCTGCGAATTCAGTTTCTTCACGTAAACCAGGAACGTGCCGGATTATTGGATGCATACAGCTTGGCTCAGGTCGACGAGTACTATTCGACGCTGGATGGTTTCGGGCAGAGAGATAAGCATCAAGTACTGTTGCACCCAGGTGTTTTAGTACAAGCTGAAAATGTGGCAAACGCAAACGGTGAAAACAGCAACGACTGCTATGACTCCGTTGCGAATGCTTTATACGAACAGCTTCCCTTTGCATCACTTTCGGCTTTGCTGGATCTCTTCATGATGTCAAGTGGCCCAAACCTTCGTGCGAAACTCTGTCATGGAGAAGCAAATTTGACGAATCTTCTAAGAAGCAGTCACGTTGAGGCTCTTGCACCAGCCAAATTGTCGTCTGCCACTCTGCTTTTGTTTGAAGCATTTGTACTGCTCTGCGAAAGCAGCATCGAGTCATCAAGTGTGGCTTGTGCTGTCATGGCGATCGATGTTGATAAAGATTCACTACCACCAGCTGTGAGGTGCCAACTCCAGGTCTTCGGTGAAACCACGACGTGCTCTTTTCACCCGTTCTACCAATTGTATCGAGCTTTATCCGCAGCACACTCTGTTGCATCGGCATTTGCTGCATTTCGAGCGAAGTGGACCGATTTCGATCTCTATGATGTTGACGGCGACGAAACTCGACAACAATCAGGTCTCACACAGGTTCAATTTGCTGCTATCAAGACGACTGATGGTCTCCCGTTCACGCTCGTGGAGAAATCGGATCGAGTGACGGAGTTTATAGCAGCTTTGTGTACGAAAGACAAGTCGACGAGTGAATTGCCTGCTGGAAAGAAGAAGAGCTTTGCCCACTTGATCGGACAGCTCAATGATGAACTAGACACGTTTTCTGTCCAAATTTGTCATGATTTTACGAGAAACGATCGTCCGGATCTCGTAAAGTCTTGCTGCAGCATTTTTCTGACACCAGCTGAAATCGACAGCACAGCTCTATCGCTTAGTGGTGCTGTTAATCTTCTCGAAGGATCAGTGAAACGAAATTTACTGGCGTTAAGCGACCAAGAAGGATTAGGCGTGGCCGCATGCATGATGGAAATCATTGCGTGCTGTCAACGATCACTCGAAATGTTTCGATCTCGCATCGAGCAATTTCAGCAACTTGTAGTTACAGGCAAAGCACGCACCAAACACCGACGCTCGCTGCTTACCAGCATTTTTTTCCTCCCCGTTTTCGAACGCATGCAAATGGTGAGTCTGAGCATCGTAGAGCGACACGTATTACGCTTACGCGATGTTGCTGCTGATATGGCAGCCTGCATTCACTCTCAAAAGAAGGCTATCGTTACCTGTCCTCGTGTCGTTCAAGTGGAGCAAGTCCAGTGCAAACTTTTGCAGTGTATCACTTCTTTTGAAGGCTGCACTGGTAGCTACGAAGCATCACAGAAAAGTAACGAGCAGGCAGTCCATCGGGCTCTCCAGTTCTTGAACTCGAAGGCTTTGAAAGCGGCGTTTCCACCATTGCAATGAAATTACTACTGCGACTACGGTCGTAAATTCAAGGTAACAGTGACAAGTTCGAGGTGATTGATATTCAAGTGAGACTTTGACGAGTATCAATACGCAAGTTGCTAGCGATACTTTAGAGAAACAAAGCCTCGTCTTGTGCAAATGACGACGCAGACTCTAAGAACTACTGGCACGTCTTCTCTCAATAGACTTGGCAGAATTGACCGGAGGTGGAATCAACCACGCAGCTTCGTGCGCTGTGTACTCTCGAGGAATGACGATATTGTGCGAGGACTCAACCTGTTCAATGCTTTCATCTTCGTCCTCGCTTTCGGACACTGCATCTTGAAGAGTGTCTCCGAACGGCAGTGATGCTGGTATTAGCCCCAGAAAGTCCGAGTCCGTGCTGGCATTACGAGAACGACTGCGCCAGCGTTGGTTGCACGAAATCGGGACGATGGCAGCCATGGGAAATTGAATAATGAGTTTCCAAGTGCTTGAGTGGGTGTTGTGAGCTTGTGCAGGCGATTGACGGAATGAAAAGTGAACTTACTCAAGGAATAGCTGCACGGGCGATGTCACTTCAAACCGCTCCATGGTGTAAAACAGAGGCAGCTACCGGTCATATCCTGACGTGCTTTGACCGACGAAAAAACAGGACGCTGGGCGTCAATATGAACACGTGATTATTGGCAGCCATCTGCGAGCAGCTGGAAGACGGAGCTGCTATTGTTTGTGGATTGTCAACGGATTTTTCTCCAGAAGAACGGGTTGACCACGTGGTGGCAGCTACGTCACAGTCGCCCGTTCTTATCGATAAGTTCACGATAAGTTCGAGTCGTCGCAACTTTGGTACGCGAATGCATGATACGTGAGACTTTCGTGGTGATGACGTGACTGCCGCATGAGATCTTTGGTCATATTAACGGACTTGGTTCGCTTGCTACACTGGACCTTTTTTTGCTGTTTCTACTGCGAAAGCGCCTCCTCAAACACTGCTACCAGTTGCCATTATCGTGATTCTACTAGTTCTGAATGAACATTTTGCCTTCTGTAGCTTATTCTCGTGACTAACTCGATCAACGGCTCGGAGGTTTCGTGATGGCTGCAAATAGACTGATGATAGCAGTGTCGAGTGGAAAGGGACACGGCGATTACTAGCTTTTGTCGCAGAACCACCATGTGGTTACAGCAATTGTTTCTTACCATAGCGACTTCTTTTTTTTATAAAATCATCACGATTAGATACTGAGTGAAGTGTAAGAAGGGATTTACTGACATTGGAGACATTAGAGTCGTAATTGGAGTTTAAGCTGGCAATTGTGCACTTGATGAGGGCGTCTATTGGGAAGGCAGGAAAAAATACACTGTCGAAGACTTTGACGAGTATTTCTAGCAATAGTAAGAAGAAGTGAAACGGAATCGCCTCACGGTCGGACAAGGCCAAACGTCCACCGAAAAAAACACTGAGACAAAGGAGATCCATTTGCTAGTAACCGCTGCAACGACTTCACGAAGTAAACAGATTGGGACAATAGCTGGCCACCAAACCGACGTAGGGACGAAGACTATCGATGTAAACGATCGAGTTGTGCAAGCTCGAGCTTGTTGCCCTCCACTTGGTTATGCACTTGCTCGCATTGTGAACATCGCTGTGTGTTGTCAAGGGCAATACCGTAACAAAGACAACTGCCCGCTATCGATGTGGTTGAACTATATTGTGTTCGAGCTCTACCTTCCATCCAGACCAGTGATAACACCTTGATAATAGACATCCATGCGTAGTTACGTGAGGGAACTACTCGTCGACGCACTTCGCCGTCTTTGTGTTTATTACTTGCATCCGCTTACACCTGTGATGCTCCATTGCCTCTGCTATTAAGACATCAAACCCAATCGAACATTCACATCCTAAACGCCAGCCAACATCAACGCTGCACGACCTCGTCACCACATAACGACATGTGCCGAGTTGCTCCAGCACACATCAAACACCTTCACACATCTCACATAGTTAATATTCAACGCTCGATCGGGCAGTTTCGGCCTACTGATCATTGAGCTCAGCTCAAATCTTGGCAATGGTCTTCTCAAAGTGCACGGGAGAACTGAACGTATCAAAAGCCCGCATCAATGCTTCGTCTCGGTCACCAGACTTGTCGTTCCGTTTCTTCTTCTTGACGACGTACGCGACAGCAGCCAGAGCGATTCCACCCACAACAGCCAAGACAACAAGAGTCACGATTACTGGACTCGTGCCTGACGAGCTGTCCTCGCTCTTCATGTTCACTTGCTTAACCGGCGTTGTCTTGTCCACCTCGAATGCATCAGCTTGCAAAATGGACACTTTCTTCCTTGACTCATCAGCTGGCACCACCTCTCCAGCCACGACATTCTGGCCGTTCGCACCCGGTTTCGTCTCCAGTGCATTGAAATCAGTCGCTTCATTCTGCTGCTCCTGCTCCACTTGGTTGGTGTATTCCACTGGCGGCTGCTTCTGTGGAAACAGTTGCTCCTGGACCTGTGACTGCTTCACAGGCTGCACTTGAGGAGGCCGTTGAGGCGGCTGGAAGGGAGGCTGCACTTGAGCCGAGTAGTTCGGAGGCTGCACTCGAGCCGGTTGGTTGACAGGGGGCTGGTTCGAAGGCTGCGGTGGGTTCCCGGTACCGAAATTTAACAATGAAGGAGGCGTCTTCTCGATCGTCGGAGTTGCAGGCACTGGCACTGGAGCTGGCACTGGAGCTGGTGCAGGAGGAGCCGGTGCTGGTGCAGGAGGAGCCGGTGCGGGTGCAGGAGGAGCCGGTGCTGGTGTAGGAGCTGGATGGACCGTTGCTGGCGCCATCTTTGGAGCTGGCGCGGTAGGGGACGTCTGTTCCACTGGACTCGTCTGACTGACCGATTCCTGCGTGGTGCTCGCTCCAAAGTTGGACGTGCCCGCAGTGCACACGTCCGACGTGAGCGACAACTTCTCCGTGATCTTCTCGCCCGATACCGACGTGAGTTCAATGTCCACAGCCGACATGTCGACGTTCACGCCGTTGTTGAGCAGGAAGTAGTAGCACGAGTCCACCATCGTCACTTCTTGGTTGGCAATCTTCATGCTGCGGACCCCGTTGGCAAAGTTGGCGGGTTGGATCGCTAACCACGACTTGCTACTGCCACTCTTGGTGCAGTACTGGATGTTCCCCGTCACGGGACAGTCGACAAACTTCCACTTGATCTTGTACCGAGCTGGGTCGCTGCCCGTAATGTACTTGAACACTTCCGGGGACAAGTCCAAGTCGCCATGTTTGCACTCGGGACACCTGTCGACCAGGTAAACAACCGACGACTTGCTCTTGTCCGGGCACTTGTCGTCGTCACAAGAGACTTCCGCACATCGCCCGCAGTTGTTCGTCTTCTCCCACTGCTTGTCGTTCAGCGCAGCGTAGTTGGTTTTCACGCCAGGGTCGTACATGAAGTTGCAGTTGCCACTCGAGACTTGGCCGAGGACGTACGACGTGCCTTCGCCTTTGAACTGCAAGTCCAAGTCGACCCCGCCGCCGTTCCCAGCCATTGCGACTGCAGGCATCGCGGCCATAGAAAGCCAAAGGGTTCGAGCCATTTCACGAGGTGGGATATCCGACTGGAATGTGGTGAGGGATATCTGACGGAATCAGGTGGGATATCTGAAATCGCTCGTCTGTTTTGCAGTAGGAATTCAAAGGGGCGACTGCTCTGGACCGAGCACGTTGAGAAGTGAGGTTGGTTGACAGAATGAGAGAGCGAAACAGTTGGAGAGGAATGATCGCGCGTTGAGGTGGAGGACAAAGGGACCTTTTGTCTTGGGGCTAACGTGGTCGATCGGACACAGGACTGGTCTGACTGACAACCTGGTCCTACAGAGCCAGCATGTGGTGCGAACTACTTGGATTCAGTATGCTGAGCTTTTGCGACGACATCGCCACATGGTGCAGACTATACTTGGCTCAGACTGGCTCAGCGTGATAAAATCGACAGCAGCTTAGTGCACGACGGCCTACAGGATTGGTTCAGACTGTAACGATCTACTGGCTCGATACTGACTCGAAGTACGCAACAGCAGACGCAGCGATATTTTAGCAGCGCACTAGCAGCGTATTTTTCTCGATCAAGTAGCTTGTAAAGTTTCTTCTTCACATTCTTGAGAATATCTACCAATCACCGCTCACAATAGACAAACCGGTATTCGAAAATAACTTACTCGCAGCTCTCGTTTCTGTTAAAGTAGCCTGTATAATAATCGACCACCTGCTTGAAATATTCCTACGTCGCTGCTGACGATCGCGTTCGAAAATCCATTGGCTCGTACGTAAAACTGCGGTAAGATACGATAAATTCATGGAGTTGGAGAATAATTGGTTGTGTAAAGCCACGGCATCTGGACATAATGCGCACGATCTGGATAGTACGCCTCGTCAGTCCACTGCACGAAAAAAAGCCCCGCAATCAACTGGACAACGCCGTCATCACCATGAAGGCAAAGTTGCGATCGCACAAGAGCCGATCTTGGGACCACCTATCGACGGATGGGAATTCCTGTGAGTTCCCACACAGTTACGACGGTGACATGGCACAAATGGCATGTCGAGGTGAGCTCGGTAGTTACCACAAGTTCAAACCGTAGGCCTTTCGATCCGAGTATCGGGAAAGCGATACAAACATGCGCATAAATGAGTGCAGGAAACGACGTAACATTCGTAACGCCATGAGCGGGCGTGAAACAAGCTGTCACAAGTTGATCTTGTTCTTTCTTTTCGGTGGACAAAGAGCGCTTATGGGGTATTTTTACTATCGCCAAGTCTTCCGAAAGAACAGGATGTCCATGAATGAACGCACCATCTGCGTCCTACCGACGAGGGGTCGCAATGGACCTCGTCGAGCAAAGCGCTCTGCTAAAATGTGTCAAGCTCTTTGTTCGACATGCACCGTCTAGGACGCTGTGCACGTCACAGAGTAGACCTACGAAAACGTACACTTCTGCTTGTGGTCACGCCGTTGCATCCGACGTCGGAATTGGGTTCCTACAGGAAAAATGGACCACGGAAACAAACCCACGCCAGCCCTAGAAGCGGCGCTTTGCAGATCGCATTACGGATCAAAGAGCGGCGCTTATGTGTCATGCATACGCTCTATCGAGCATTTCTCCACTACATTGAAACGGTACAAAACGTGGTGGAAACGCTGGACGTGCTGGCTTTTCGTGCAAGTCCTAGCTAGCACTTGTCAATTATAGTCACTTTCGGTGTGAATATTCGACACTGAATTCAAAGATAAGCCCGATGTCGTACACGTGGAGTCGACTGTAGGACGCAAACCTAGTCGTAGACAGTCTGTATCGCACACGCCTGCTGGGTTCTTTGCTGACCCCTCTCGATGGACTATTTGCTCGATCAGGACCGAGTAAAGTTAGACTACCCGACCATGTCAATCGTGTCGTGCGTAAGAGACGCAACGATGTCTGTGCCGAGTCCACTGATGGTACCAAACCTTCGTATCAACAGCTTGTTCATTCAAAGCACCGAGGACCCACGTACTCGTTAACAAGTCGGTAAGCAGACAGCGTCTCGCATAACACGAGACAGGACAGTTCTGTGAACGCTTTTGTCCCTGCTCTCCTTCATCCAGCTGGTGGTGACTAGACACGCTCAGGCTCGATCATGAGACCCAGCGAGCAGCTGCCGAAATCACTGCAGTCGATTCGGGAATAGTCACTGCGTTCAGAGAACGAATGTGGCATGGAGCAACCGAAGCTGGTGTTTGAGGCCATTACGATGATCACGTCCGAACAATAACCTGATGTGCGTGACCGCCTTCTGGTACCATTCCCCCCACCGGTTGCGACTTTACCGTCTTATACTCGCGCTCTGTCTGTCCTGTGCCTTCTTGGAAGCTTCAGCATAGCCAATGTTGATGGGGATGCTCGTGAAGAGGTGCTCCTTCTACCCTGACCTCAAAGGAACTTGCGAAGCTAGCAACTGGTCTCGTAAACCTGTAGATGGGCATTACCTACACTGCAGACATGGAGACCTCTTCGGGATTAGCTACTACTTGGTATGAATTTACTTATCAGCTCTATGCCGGCAGGAAGGTATCCGTCCAAGAAGCATCACTTGTATCCGTCAGGAGACCAACTTAAAACCCTGAATCTCGTCTCATCTACTTCAAACAGTTACCTGACTCCTTCAAGCACGACGCTTGACAAATACAGACTTGACGGATCAAAAACAATCGGATGGATGGATGTCCGTTGACCGTCAATTGAACGTGTCGTACGCACGTTTACAGTCGTAGCTCCGCACGTGTTCAACAACTGCGAAGCGCACCCATGTACCCACCCCCTCCTGATGCTTGAAACAGTTCAACACAGCAATGCGTTTCCCACGAACAATGAAAAGCATGGCGAGCTTTATCTTCCGACCCTCGTCATGTTAAACTTGCAAGCAGCTGTCGGGGCACCTTCAAATCATGCCGTCGCCGGGCGAGCTCCCGGATGGGATCGACTGACGTATGGCGCATCGCCTGGACTCAGCCCATTTTTACATCGTCGCAAGTAGCAGACACCTAGGGAGTGTGTCCATGGTCTTCATTGATTCTTTTGCGAGCATACACCGGGCAAAGTCGTCTACTTACACGCCTCAACCCTTCAAGATTTCGTCCATCGACGACAACGCTACAATGGACTCGACCGTGAGCAAGCGCCACTCGAGTCCGTTCCCTTCTTTGCATCTGTCTCCAGCAAATGCCGTGGAACTTGAATCGCTGGCTCAGAAATTGGTCGGACGGAACATCAACGCGTACGAAAGTTTCCTCCTTGACAACCATAACAAAGTGAACGAGTCGCAATGGCGCTTTGTGTCGTCAAAAGATGACCTGCGAGCTTATGTGGAGCTGCCTTCTCGTGCAAAAGAGTCGCCACATTCGTATAAAGCAGATACCCCGGTCGCCGATTTACCAGTGGTCATGATCACAGGGACCATCCTTGGCAACCTGGACGACGTCATGTACGGCGTCGCTTGCCCTACGACCGATCAAATGCGAATCAAGACGTCGTACGTCCACAGCGACATTCCCCGCAGCTGTGTGCTCTCGACTCTTGTGTATCCAACACATGAGAACCCTTTCGACTCAGTCTGTATCAAGTGGGTAGAGGTCCAAGTCCCGTTAGCCGTACGTCCGATGATCAAACACCGCGACTTTGTTTATATGGAGACTACCGGGATCGACCAACTTCGGAATGGAGAACGGGTGGGGTACCACATTGCCCACTCGGTGCAATTCCCCGAGACGCCGCCTTTTGACACGCATATTCGAGGCAATAGCTCAATATGTGTCTTGTATCGTCAACGAACGAAGAACGTCACGGACGTGTTCATCAAGGGGTTCTTCAATCCAGCTGGAGGTATCATGCGGACAATTTTGGTCCATTCGGCAGCTCGAATGCTGCTCACGGTGGCAAAGGACATGTACTGCAGTCAAAAGAAGAAGCTCGTGTGGGCTCTGCGGGGACGATATAAGGACGAGAGTTCGTCTTCTAGCTCCGGTAGCATGGACGGTTCCTCGAGTCAACCTAAGGACGACAAGAGCTGCTCCGGGTGTGGTAAGAAACAGTCTCTTTTCGTGCAAGCGGCGAGCCGCACGGATCGAGGTGCTAAGCTCTTGCAGATGAAAAGACATTGCAAACTCTGCATGCGCTACATGTGTGTGGACTGCAGGAGGCAGCACCGATTGTCCTTCTTGTTGCCGGACCAGCGACTCGTCCAGCGACTGGTGACGATCTGTCGGATGTGTGAGATCGAAACGCTTGCCGAAAGCGCGGCTGGCGTCGCGCGAGATGAGTTGGTACTGAACAATTTCAGACGGCGATGGGATAGCACTGATGTCTTGAACCGAACGACCATGTCTGTCTAGAGCGGACGGAGCGAGTAGTAGCTCGGTAGACTGACGATAATATTAAGTACAAGGACGGGGGACAGTCAATATGAAGTAGAGCTCAAGTGTTTGCTGCTGCACGTTCTTTCATTAGGCGCCTGATAGGAATCCTGTTACAAGATGTTTCTTCAATGTGAAGACGTCCACTTCATAATATGCGTCGCCATCAGACATAGTCAATCTCCTCTAAGAGACTACATAGCTAGACCAGACTTTGTTAGTTGATTGCTTCTTTCAGCTGGTTAGCTGCTCTTCACCAGCATCAATAGGGGCATTACACGGTCAAGCAGTCAACTAAATTTGCTAAACTAGCACGGTTTGCGCTAACCCACCTTTCCTAGACACTTCGCTTGAATGACACCACCAAGATGAGCCAATCGTGTGTGTTGCAGTATCTGTTTCAAGAGGGTATTGACTTTATCAATTGATCACAACCACCGACATAGTCAACCACTAAAACATGTTGAATCACCTCTGACAGGAATGTATTATTTGCAGTAGGATCAAGCATTACAAACAGGAAAAGCTCAATGTGGGCACAAACCCATCACAGAGTTATAGTACCAGAGCTACCGAGCATTCCTTACGAGCTACCGCTGCTTCTGCCGTTCTTGAGGCACGTGCACTCAGCTAGATTGAGCACGATGGCCATTGACGCATGTCCCGACTTGTAAGCGGGGCAAACACTTGACGGATTGTTCAAGCAGTTGCGATCTTCTTGCTGCGCCCAAAACGAGCTGAGCTGGCACAAATCTTTGCACTTTTCAGCTCGAATCGCAAGCCTCGTGTCCCATGGCGTGGACTTCATGTTGGTCATGCTGTAGAAGAATTCCTGCTTCTTGGTCAGTGCTTCTTGGTTCGCCACTCCTCGCTCGTTGAGATGCTGACTTTTGTCGGAGGTGTCGTCGTGGCTTTGGTGGTGGTGACGAATGATTTTCACGTGATCACTTTCATCTGCAGAGGCCAAAGTGGCGAGGAACAGAGCGAGGAGCGGGACACAGGTTTTCATGGTGGGGGAGATGGAGAAGATCGAGTTTTACGAATAAAATGATCTCGTGGTTGGCAAAAGACGTGCGTAGGACGGAACGCTGATACGGCATGAACTGCTGGAAGACATGATAGGTGAATGCTATGTGATGCAGTAACGATGTGGAGACTTGACGTGATGTAGCATAAACCTGGCCTATTGACTGAGAGGGAGGAATTTGGGGTGGCTGTCACCCCTACATGTATCAGATTATTGCGACTGCTACTGCTTGGAAGGGAATCCAGATACCGTGCTGCAAAGTGCTTTTGATAGGCTTGCGATTAAACGACTAAGTACGCAAAAATGAATTATCGCAACCGATGCACATTATCATGTAAAGGTTCGCCATAACTTCCAAACATGATCAGAACGGATCGTCATTTTGATGAGTCAGACGTCATCTCATGAATTTGTTTCTATTCTGGCTTGTCGTCAATTCTAAAAATAGTCAGCGATCGCTTCTAAATCTTTCATTTTATACTCAAACTGCGTCGCTCGCGTTCATTTTGCGATAGATTTCTAGCAAACAAAACACTTCACGACACAAGAGACCGCTAGAATGCGTTCTATGGCTTGCTAGAGTTAACAAGAGCCAAAAAATAGGAATTGTAGTGGCATCATGACGCACGCATGAGGAGGTATATCTACGACTTGACCTATTTCAAGCACCTATTTCCATGTACGTTAAGCGACTAGGTTGAAGCAGTCCTCATGCTGGTCGCAAGTCTTATCCGATAAGGTTCCGTTGCGTGTCAAGCATTGCGATCGGTGCCAACGTGACGATTGCCATTGGTCCGTCCTTTCATTGTCGTCACGCTTGTCAAGTTGCGCCACATTTGACGTTTTCCGCCGTTTCACACGAGCGGACGGTCTCCGATAACTAGAACATCATCATCACATTGTCATTCCTCAATTCGCACTGCAGTTCGAACGTCGTCTTTGAGGCACCTGTTCATGAGTCTTTCATCCAGACATCTGGAAAGCTTTCGCAGCGGACCTCAATCTCGTGTCTCGGTGAGTGTTGGCAAAGATCCGGGCTCGAAATTGCATCTACCGTCACAAGAGCAGCTCGGTGACGGATTAACGATCGTTGGTAGTCAAGGGCAGACGAATGTAGTGTTTACAGAACAGCAAATGACCGATGACTTGCTGGCTGCCATTCCAAAGCTGCATGCAGTCATCTCGAAAGAGGTACGAGAAAGCTCAAGGTGGCACCGCAAAAGCCGCAAGGACGGCGTCACCACGTACGGATCAGTGCCAAACACTTCTGGGTCGGACAACTCGGATTTAGCGTACGCGTCGCTGGCCAAGACAAAGATCAAGTGCCATTTGAACGAGGTGCTCAATGTTCTGGTCAGTCACGAGTCGAGTGCTTACCAAAGCACCATGGCTGCACTCTGTGGCGACAAGTTCCAGGATGGACATGTGGCGTATCAGCAACGCTGTCAGCTCTCGGAAAACTCGCATCGGGTTTTATCAGGGGCCGCTGACCTTCCATTGAAAGGACTCGAGGAGCGCGATGTCCTTTTGAGCGTCAACATGGCAACACTCCAGCCGACGCTGCCCATGCGGCTCCAGTCAAAGAAGCATCGACAACCTCAAAAGTTGTGCTTCTCGTCGCTCACGCACCAGTACGCGAGCAAAGATCGAGCTGTGCACGTGATGAAGACTCTGCCGAAGCATGTGCACGATGCACTTGTGCCACCTTCGCAGCGAACTGCTTTGCGGGACAATTTGGACCACTTGACCGTCGGGTTTGATATTCAGTCGACACCGGCTTCAGGAGGCAGTAGCAGCCAGACGACTCGCATTGTTGCGCACGGATACGCGGCAGTGACTGCACCGGAGGCTTTTGGGGCAGTCACGTCGGACTCGCCGCAGTCAAAAATTGGTGCATCGAATCGGGAGCAGGTTACGCGTCGTCGAGGTGCGATGATGAATCCGGAAGCGAAGCACGTACTGGAGCTGCTCACCCGGTCGTTGAGAGAGTTTGAGCGTGTTATCCGAAGACGACGGCTCGGGTTCCAGTCGTTCGTGTACTTCCTCACGGTAGTAAGGGATGAAGCCGAGATGAAGCCATGCCACGTGTGTACGAAAGGCTTCTCCCTGCTTCGACGAGACTTTTTCTGCCAGCTCTGTGGGCACATGGTCTGCCGCAACTGCTCGCATTTGCATGAGGTTGAAGCAAGTATTGGCGAAGTGCGTCGGAACCGCATCTGTGTCAAGTGCGTCGTGCGCGTCGACGCTTGCACGTTTGAAGACGACAACCTTGTGGTGGCACTCGGACCGACGGTGGTGAGTGACGAGCAGTGGTTCACCGACAGCGAGCGCGAGTCGTTGGACGACGGAACAGATGCCGTCTCGGTCACGTCGACTACATTCGATCCGTCTTTGTCCAGCGCGACGTCTCACGATCGATTGACGTCCAGCGATCCAGCGACACGATCGCAAGCACTGGAGGAACTTGGTCGTCTGGTGATCCCTGACGTCACTGGATCCTTACGAACGAAGCGGAGACGCAAGATCGATGAAGGCAAGGACGGATCAACAGATTTGGTTGAAATGGTGAAGCAGGACGTTGAACACTATCTGAAGCAGAGTCTACGTGTAGCTGAGAAGGCGATGAAACTGGAGGACTGTGGGGTGGCTGGGTTGGACCGGGACTATGCTTTCGAGTACGATGTCGACGGTACGCACGATCCTGATCACCCGTTGCCGCCTATGCCTCCACAAGAGAAGGAGGACAGGCGATTGCAGTACATTGACGAATCGGGCGTATTGGCCGCAACGTTCGACCGATCAGCTCTGGACCTCTTGGCTCAAGTGGCAGCTAAGCAGTTAAACTGTCCGATTGGATTCGTTACGATGGTGGGCAAAGAGGAGATGCATGCTGTAGGCGCGTTCCCTCCTCGACCTCGGGAGCTGACCATGATCCCGCGAGACGAGAGTATCTGTGCCCATACCGTCTATGCGGACAAGCCGTTGGTTGTAAAGAATTCTCAACGAGACATGCGGTTTGCTCAAATGTCTCTACTGAAGAAGGCAAAGATAAAGTTCTACGCAGGGTTCCCGATCCGAGCACCGGACGGTTTAGTCGTGGCTTTGCTGTGCGCTTCGGACGTTAAGCCGCACGAGACGATCTCAACCAAGGAATACGCGACGATGGAGACGTTAGCGAAACTCGCAGGACAAGTGGTGGCGCCACGACAGCTTGCCATCGCCGTAGACTAGTAGCTTGAAATGAACGTACTTGAGACAAGGATTAGTAGACAGGCAGTTTGTGTGTTGATCTGTGTGCTCGTGCGCGTCTGTTGATGCATTCGTGGATGCTGAAGTCCATGCGGTTCAAACCTGAAACTCGGTTGGTAACAACGTGAAGGAGTCGTGCTCTTGTGCGGGACCACGCGTTGTAAATCGTCATCTCTCGCTCTCTGCGCGTGTCGCTTTCTCGCATCCGGACGTCTCTTTCGTGAAGCGAACGAAGCGACACTTTGTCAATGGATCGATCTTCCGTCTCGTCGTAACTCTTCATTACCACTTTGAACCAGAACTGTCATGAAGATGCACCTTCAGCACGGTTTGTACAGTCTTGTCGCACTACCTACGCTACTAGTGGCGGCATTTGAAAGCCCCTTTTACAACGGTCACGGCACGTCGTACACCCTCAAGACGTTGTCGACAGGTGCCTGCGCGTTCATGGACAGCCCTGCGGTTAGCGACTACTACGCTGCTATCAACCGCAAACAATGGCACTCATCGTTAAACTGCGGTCGATGTGCCGAGGTATCAGGTGATGACCCGACCCTCGCGGCTACGGTCTACATCGTCGATGAATGTCCAGACTGCAAGACCGGCGGGTTGGGGCTGTCCCCGGCAGTCTTACAGCAATTGAGCAGCAACGGACACTCGACGGACAACATCCGGTGGCAGTTCGTTGACTGTCCGGTGGAAGGCCACGTCAAGTACTGTGTAAACAGCCGTAGCAACAGTTCGTGGCTGGCTGTGCAGCCTGTGAACACGGTGACCGGGGTCTCGGACATGGTCATTGCCGACAAAGAGATGACCTTGCTAGACTCGGGCTACTTTTTCGTGCTCAAGAACTCGACTGTCGGCATGTCAGCAGTGGACGTTGAGCTCACATCTACTACAGGGGAGACGATCAAGGACACGGTGACACTCATCGCTGGTAAGTGTGCTACTGGGTCGTCCAACTTTGGCCCGAGCCATCAGAGCAAAGTGCTCAGCAACTTTGACGATCTCAAACATGCGGGCGACTATAAAGCAGGCTACGTCATTGCCTCGGATGACGAGATGGTTGCGACCGCTCGGTCATCGACAAAGTCGTTTGATTCCAACCTCTTTCTCGTCGCTCCCGTTGTCTTGGCCGCCGTGGGGGCTGTGGCTGCAGGAGCCTTTGCCTACGTTGCCCAGCGACCAAAAGAACAAGTCGTGACCGAAGAGCCAAATTCCCTGACAAGCCCCTTTAGCGCCCGCAGCAGCTCGCCAGCCATTCTTAGTGAAACGATTACCAAGTTGTAGTAGATTAAGCGTATGTACAATGAATGCATCCACGTCGGAGTGGGGCGTCTTCTAGGTTATACACACACACACACCCGTACGTGGTGACAGGATGACAATCCTATTGAAGAAGAGGAAGAAACACACCACCGCGTACGTACACGCACGTTCTTGCACAAAGATGCCGACTACCGCAACGTCGTACTATCGCTGTAGTTTCATGGCCATGTGTGCACAAAACACAGGAGGAAGTATGTGTAACGCCGCGCTATTTTGACACAACAAGTGAGCGTCGATTACTGCTATTCAAAGAGATGGGGAAGCTCGATCATATGTGGTAGAGCTACTGGTCTCACCACCGCTCATCCACCGGCTCCGTCGCCCGCTCGAGTTTGCAAAACATGCGAGGCTAAAGCCCGTCGTCATTTCAGGATTATCTCCATTACCATCCCGAACAACCAGTAAGGACAAGTCGAAAACCATAGTCGAAAGCAGGAAAACCTGATGGTCCGACCCTGGTTTTTGCTCGCAGTAGCGACGGCTCTGTTTCCCGCTGTCGTTTATCCAGTTGGTACTGCTGCCGCTGGTCTTGTGTCGCATGACGGGGCCGGTTCAGCAAAGGGACTGGGGCAAGCCGCCGTTGGTGCTTGCAACTCGAACATTGGGGACGACTACGCTGTGGTGAATCCACTTCAGTGGAACGTGTCGGACAGCTGCAACACGTGCGTCCAGGTCTTTTGCAATGAAGCTCGGTGTGCATCGACAGGCCCCGTGGTGCTTCACGTGGTGGACAAGTCTCCCGATTGTCTGGAAAACGGCTTGGACATGTCTTCGGAAGCGCTTAAGAAACTGACCGGAAGCAATGAAGCAGCTCCGTTTACTATCAGGTGGGGATTTGTGACGTGCCCTACGACGACCGACAAGAGTAAGCCTGAAACCCCGTACAAGGCCGGGAACGTCGAGCCAGCCAAAGGGTCGACGCAGGCCGTGTCGATCCTGCAGGAGACCGACCAGAACGTGGACAAGACGTCCAACCACCAGCTCGTGATTACGAAATTCGAGTCTACGGACGACGCTAGATCATCTGGCACGAGTCCTTACTTCGTGGTGTTTGCGGTTCTGGTCGCTGTGTGCGCTTTCGCTCTGGTCATGGTTCTTCTAACGGTTATAAGGAAGAAACGGCGTGGCAAGAGTTCTGTGTGCACGACTCGGTCTTTCGACACGTTTGACTCACCGGCGAACAAGCGACCCAGTATCGTCAAGTTTTGAGCCAAAGGAAGTTGCGGGACCGCATCCAAGGTGAGGTCGTGTGGACCAAGAGCAGATATGCTCGACAGACTTACAGGCTGCCTGGTGGGTATTGCCTGCAGTGCAGGTGTGACGAGTTTAAAGCGCAGGTAGTGGCAAGGAACCGCTCCTGTTATTGCAGTCGTGACGTGTGTAGACAGATGCATACCGGATAGTCGAATGAAGACGTTCCGTTTCAAACTTGGAGTCAACGACATGTACCAAATCGACAACTGCCTTGCGAGTGCTGCTCTTACTTGATCCTTCTGATGTCGTGTACAACGTCGCGCTCGTACACTGGTAGCTACTGTATTCTGCGAAGAGAGTGCTCGCGTTGTAAAGTCATGTCGATGCATGGACAAACTCTAGAGATCTAAGTCCTGCTGTCGCATACAACGTCCGACAATATGGTGTAGAAGTAGAGGCAACCACCACCTTGTCATGTCCTGGACACCCGGAAACACCTCCTGACTCATGTGCTGAGCATTCGTTCCTCTTCTACTTGGTCGCTCCAGCTGTAGTGACCGCTGGTCTTTACGGGCCAAATGTTGTATGCTCTTTCTTTACAATGACCAAACCACCTCTACCTCCTATCGAGAGCAGTCTGTCCGCTCCGGACGGGCATTGTATATATTTGCGTCTCTAGCCTATTCCACCACCAAGACGAGAGATATTACCGAACTATCGTCATGCTCCAGCCTCTTTGGTTGTTGTTAACGGTAATAATGCCTACGGTTGCATACGCAGGTAACAATCTGGACCCGTATTTCCATGGACAAGGCACGTCGTACACTCTTGGGCAAGTCTCGAGTGGCGACTGCAACTTCATGTACGACCCTGGTGTGGGCGACAACTACGCTGCGTTGAGTAGTGATCAATCGGAGTCAACTCTCAATTGTGGTCGATGTGCGGAAGTCTCGTGTGACGACTCTCAGTGTAGTGGGGACGCGGCTCGCTCTGCTCTTGTCTACATTGTGGACAAGTGTTCAGGATGCGCTCATGGCGCCCTGGGCTTGTCCCCAACAGTCTTTGGACAGCTTCGAGGCAACAGTGACCCGTCCGAATACGCGATTAAGTGGAAATTTGTCGATTGTCCCGTGACGGGGAACATTCAGTACTGCACCAAGAGTGGCAGCAGCAACTTGTGGTTAGCTGTACAACCAGCCAACTTGGTCAGTGGCATCGCGAGTGTGAAGATTGCCAACCAAGCCGTGAAAACGGTGGACTCAAGCTACTACTTTTTGCTCAGTAGCGGTGCGAACATTGACATGTCGGCTGTAGAGATTGAGGTCACGTCTGTTTCTGGTGAGACGATCACGGAGAAGTTGGCACTGACGGCCGACACGTGCACAGGTGGCACGTCTAACTTTGGAGTAGGCGTCACGCAGAACTCGATGAGTCGAAGAGAATCGAGTCCAAGCAGTCCGGTAAACGACCAAACGCCGACAACGGACCCGATACCAGCTTCAGCTCCATCTGCAGCTGGCAGTGCTGTATTCAACCAGCAGACCGAAGTCAACAGCTACTTTGGCCGTCTGAATCAAAATGGTTCTACAGGTGGAGCTGGGAAGGTCATTGCAGCCAACGAATCGAGCCGTGAAGTGTCCATCTTGCAGTCGAGTGAAGATCGTGTTGAGAAAACACCCGCGACGCAATCTCACCAGCCAGATACAGGGAATGACATCAAGGAGATCACTACCAAGTCGAGCGATTTTTCGCCGCACACGAGTCCCGTTCTCGTGTCGTTTGTGGTTTTAGCGGTCGTGGGTGGTGTCGCTTCAGCTGTCGTCGCTTACACGGTCAAGAAGAAGGTTCTGGATGACAAGCGCGAAGGCTTCGATCGATCATTTGATACCTTGAGCTCTCCTGTTAATATCGACATGACTATTGCAAAGATTTAACATGTAGGCGATCCATTGCGTTGTATGGATGCGTGTGGCGGCAGCTAGAAGAAAGTGTTGTATTGTTTTTTATATCATCAGTTGAACTGGAGAAAGTACCTGCAGGTGCTTGTCGGAGACTTGGCTTTCTTTTGCCTGTGTTGCGATGGGGCACTCAACGAACAAAAGACATCAAGTTATCGTCTACATGCAGGTAAAACCTACAGGATACAACGGTAGAGGCAACAATAAGATTGTAACTAGCTACTACACAAAGCAACTGCTAGCATTACGGTAAATGTTTTGTCATCATTACGATGCAAGCAATCTTAAGCGCTCACGGAAGCAAAGATGTCGATCTACAAAAATGATGATGAAAGAGTAGTCGTGGCGCTACGTTGTCACTTGAACAATGCATTGATTGAGGATAAAGTGTGTGCACTATAATGAAGAGAGAGAGATGCAGACGTGTCTATTAACCATTAATGGTTGCAGGATGTCTGATATATCTTGAGCCTGGTTAGCAACGCCGGTTTCTTCGACGAGTCCGGTGATTGTACGGGGCTAGTCGCCCTAGGCGACTGCTCTCTTGGTTGTCTGTCTAAATATCGTTGACATACTAACTAACGCGCTCCTTGAATTTTCGTGTCGGCCCTCCGACACTCCCGCTTTGCTACTGCCCGGAGCCGCCGCATACCTGTTAATTCCTTAACGCAACCGTGGAGTGTAACCTCCGCCTGCTGTAATTAACCAATTGCGCTGTATCCATAAGCTTGTAACGCACACGCTGCTCAGTATGCGCCACAATCGCATCCATTCTGTTACGTACGCTTAAACCTCATCAGGGTGGTCTCGCCCGACCCGTTCTAAGACCCTCGAGGGTAGTTCCGGAGGATGCCGACTGGCGCTTGCTGGGAGGGATCCCTCGAGATTGCCCAGCTCCCAACGTTGTCCCGTCCAATGGCAAATAAGTTTTTGCCAACATGCCTGCGCACATGGGCAGGACTAGAAGATGTGTTCAAGAGTCTCTTTTCCCTCCTGGCAGCACTGCAGCTTGCGACAGATGGGGTCCTGCAGCCTCCCAGGAAAAGAAGTGTTCAGTTGCCGCACTCCCACACGATAGCAGACCCATACCTGATACTCCGTGAGCTCCTTGCCATGTACCCAGAGAGAGTATGGTGTCTGGGCTGATGCCTTGGCTTGCCAAGGACTCCGGCGTGCCGCTTGCTCGAGTTTAACACAGTAACGGGCACCCTGAAGCTTGTACTGATGACAGTACAAGCTACTTATTCTGATGACAGAATAAGTCGGTGCCTCGGAACTTCACGTACACTCGTACGTGCAGAGGAAGACGATAAGAAGAAGCGAGTACTTGGTTAAATTAAAAAGTAGAACTGTATTTATAATAGTTAATGTCTGCAATAAATCACTATTTATCTTCATCTAACTATGTCTAAATACAAATGTGTAAATCAACTATCTGCTCACCACTCATTGCGTGCGTCTGTCGTGGCGCGTCTTCGTTGGTTGATATAATGGCCTATATCAACCAATTAGGAACTACTCGTAAGTGCTGTAGAATATTGTCCTTATGACAATATTCTGAGAATATAACTCTTATAGTTATATTCTATTAACACTTTCTTAAAAATTGTTATGTAACGATTCACCCCGTTACATCACCCCCCCTTAATTATCAGTCACTTTAGTGACTGATTGACTAAATGGATACTCGTCCCAAATCATTTGGGACAGGGTTTGCACTTGTTGGTCCGAGTCCACTTTCCAACATTTCATCGCATGGTTAACAAGCCCATGCGATGCGCGAGCAAGGCCGCCGAGAGCGCGTCCGCACGTCTCTGTGCGGACGCCGAAGCAGAAACCACAGCAACTGATGTCTCATCGGTTGCTGAAGCGACTCAGCCTGTGTCACTTGGTGATGCAGGCGCTGGTCATGAAGACACTCATGTCTTCACAGAGTATGAGCTCGGTGTCTCATACTCTCCTGATACGGAAGACGGATCCGTATCGACGGCGATCGAATCCAAGCCGTCTGCCAAGCGTGGCATGGACGATGCTTTGCGTCGCAGCATCTTTGGTTCATCTGATGAATCAGATGAACCATCGCCGAAGCGAAGGCGCTCGAGGTCGCGAGACTCGGGCGCTAACAGTGGTGTCGGTTCTCCTATGGACACCACTTCGCAACGAGGTGCCAGTCCTTCTGTCGGCACATCGCAAGAAGAGCGGGACCGCAGTGTGTTGCGTCTCGCTCCTGAGAAGAAGGAATGGATGCCTCCTAAGTCAGTCATGGATCACTTGTCGGCGACGACAAGTGATCGTTATCGAACACGGTTGTTCGATTCGTCAAGGATCGATCGCCTTGACCCCAGTGCGAAAAACTATCGCGCTGAGAATGAGTTCTTCATCGATGCTTTCTTTAGACATCGATGGTACAGTGGGAATCACAAGCGTGATGGTCCCTCACTACTTCAAGCGTGGAACGCCTACATCCATAACCTTGAGGATGTAGGTCGTGACGTTTGGAACGACAAACTTATCAAAGCTCGTGATAAGTTTGAAAAGCGAACCCCAACAAGTGCACGCTACAAGCTGCATCGTCTGTCTAGGGAGAGTGGGTTACCCTGTCTCTCCTGGGGAGACCCTTGCCCATGTTGTGTGAACAACTCTGCGCGCGCACCTAAGGAGGCTTACCTCCCTAATAGCCCGTGGTGGCGCGTACGTATCTCTACTGAGATGTACGAAGGGATTGACAACCTGAAATCCCTTTACGACCGTGCCGGGAAGACTTTCTCCGGCAGTCCTTCTGCGGCACAGGATGTGCCGCGTCGTACTGCTCGACCAGACCCAGTACGTCAACCATCTGTTGGGAGCGGGGCTCCCAAGCATCCCAGGAAGGGGGATAGCCGCGCCACCGGACGAGATAACTCGTCCGACGTCCGTTCACGTCGCGGTGGTTCAACAGCTGCTCAACCAGATAGCGCTGGCCACCGCGAGAGTGTTCTAATGGAGGTGGAGGAGGAGGAAAGACGCTCTCCACACGATCATGGGGATCCGTGTGTTCCCGAGAGCTTATTTGATCGTGTAACGCAAGGGTTTCGCAACGATCTCTAACATGAGCGGGAAAGGCGTCTCCAAATGGCGGACACTGTCTTGAAGCATCGAGCTGAGTTTGCCTTTGCTCAGATTGAGAACGAGAGATCTCTGGCATCTCTTCGTGACGAGCTAAGGGTAGCTCGTGGGATTGTTGATCGGTCTCGGGATGAGATAGCTGCTCTTCAGACCCTTGTTGATGCCCACAATCGGGAGCACAAGGCTCTCTGTGAGATGCTTGAGCGCAAGGGCGTTCTTCATCGGAAGAAGCAGCGTACTGATGGTACGGCTTAAGCCGACCAACGTAAAACGTGGGATGCGTTCGCATCTTACGTGGCAACTCGATCGTGTATGCATTGCCTAGGCGGTGCAATACACAAAATGGGCCGATGTACTTGGGTAGTAGTTTACTGCTACCCAATTTAGTCACTACATGCTTTGGTAGATTAACCGTAGACAGTAGGACTAAGTCACCTTTATCAAATAAAAGAGTGTTTGCCCTTCCATTCTTGTCAGCGTTTTGCTTTTGCTTATCCACCGCTTCGGCGATGGAGTCTTGCACAAAACGGACTACCGTTTCACGAGCCAGTATGAACTCATCTGATGACTCGTTAGCTTCAGTGCGCTGTGAGCGCACTGCAGCAGCATCAACCTTTTCTTCAGTGAGGGCTTCCGCACTCTCACTGGCATCATCTTCTTCGATATCGATGTTATCGATATCGGTATCAAACGCAATGACCTCTTCGTCAGAGCGTGATGAGTGTGAACCAAATCTGTTTTTGCTCGCGCGAGTCCCTCCCTCCCTTAAACAGAGTTACACTCTAGTAAGGTCGGTATCCGCGGATGGCGTAAGCCATTCACGTAAAACGGTGTATGTGTCGTTGACGCATGCACCGAGTTGTTAATGGCAAACTCTACCATTGGCAAAAACTCACTCCAACTCTTAAAGGAGTGTACGTATCCTCGAAGTATCTCTTCGAGTACACGATTGGCACGTTCCGTCTGACCATCTGACTCTGGATGATCAGATGTAGACATCTTCAAGCGCGTTCCGAGTGATTTGAACACGGAACGCCAGAAATCAGCAGTGAATCGTGGATCTCTGTCTGATACGAGTTCACGGGGCAACCCATGAAGTCGGAAGATGGTGTCAATAAAGACACAAGCACAGCCACTTGCCGTGATTGTCTCTGGTACAGCCACAAGGTGTACCATTTTGCTGAATCTGTCAACAAATACGAGAATACCCGTATTCCCGCGTGCGTCTTTGGGTAACCCGAAGACGAAATCCATTGAGATGGATTCCCAGCACTCAGCCGGAACCGGTAGAGGCTGTAAAGGTGTACGCAGTGCAGGACTTGACTTCACTCGTTGACAAATTCGCATGCGCGAACATACTTTCGCACAGACTGATACTGGCGGGGCCAGTAAAAGTCTCGACTCACCGTGATATATGTTTTCTCCCGGCCACGATGTCCTCCTATAGGAGAATCGTGATACTCGAACATGATCCGCAAACGCAGATCAGTATCTTCTGGGATGACAACACGTGGTATGTCACCAGAAACGGCTGTATAATACAGTAACCCGTTGCGAGTAGCGTATCGATCTGATGCAGATCGATACGCAGACGACAATCGTTTCAACGATTCTCGAGATGGCTGTGAGAGATGTGTCAACAACTTCACAATCTCACCATCTTGGGCGTATGCCCGCCTCACATCATCATACAACGTTGTAGATGGGACTGAGGACGTCATTACCGCATCAGTGGCTGTCTCACTGTTGGATTTCACGACTGTTTCAAAGTCGGGACGACGTGAGAGTGCATCAGCGACGACATTAAGTCGTCCTGGTTTGTACTCGACCGTAAAGTTGTATTCTTAAAAGAATGACAACCACCGCGCCATTCGTTGTGAAAGGTGCGGGCTGTTCACTGCCGTACGTAACGACGCATGGTCAGTGTAAAAATTGAAGGGTCTATCTCCTAATAGATAGACTCTGAACTTCGCGAGTGCATACTTCATGGCAAGGAGTTCCTTGTCATGCACTGGATAGTTCCGCTCAGCTGGTTGCAGCTGACGCGACTGATAGCAGACGACGCGTTCAACGCCTTCAAGATCGTACTGCATTAATGCACAGCCGATTGCGAATCCGCTGGCATCACAGACCACATGAAATGGCCTGTCCTGATCGGCAATTTCTAGGACTGGGGATTGTATCAAGCTCTGCTTGATACCGTCAAAGGAGCGCTGACATTCAGCGTTCCATAACCACCTCTCGTTCTTTTTCAACAAACGAGAGAGGTGCACAGTCATCTCGGCGTAATTGCGTGAATACTTATGCAAATACGTCGCTAGCCCAAGGAATTTTCGAAGACCTTTGACATCAAATGGCACAGGCCAGTCGGTGATCGCCTTGATCTTTTCGGTTACAGGACGTACACCGTTCTTACCAACGATGCACCCAAGAAGTGGTATTTCGCTTGCTGCAAATATACACTTCTTGAGGTTTGCATAAAATTGATGCTTTCGCATGATTGTAAGAACCTGTCGGACGTGGTACCTGTGAACCTCAACGTCCGACTTTCCATCCATAGCTCGACTATGGATGAATACGTCATCGAAATAGCTCGGCGCGAATTCTCGTACTGGTCTCAACAGATGTGATACACATCTGTTGAACGTGGCAGGGGCATTACTAAGCCCTTGTGGCATTACTAACCAATCCCAGAGCATGCCGCTAGGCGTGCTCACTGCGGTATAGGGTATATCCCATTCTCGCATAAGGATTTGATAGAAGCCATCCATCAAATCCATGGACGAAAAGATGGTACTCTTTGATATACCATCAATGATTACGTCCTTCCTTGGTATCGGCGTCTGAGCCGGTACCGTTGCATCATTCAACTTGTTAAATGCATGCACAATCCGCCACCCTCCTGTTGCTTTTCGCACACAGAAGGTCGGAGAGCTATGTGGGGAAGTTGATTCCCTCACATGGCCCGCAGCTAAACGATCGGCAAAGAACTTGTCGATCGCAAGTACTTGTTCACGAGGCAGTGGCCACTGCTTCATGACACAGTACTTCGAGCCTGGTTTAAGCTCGACCTCGTGTCGAGTACCTTTATCCTTCGGTAATTCGCACGGAACTGTTTCAGGGAATACATCCTTGAATTCAACCAAATCTTTATAAAGAGAATTTGTCTTGAGCGATTCCCACGATTGGGAGTCATATCGCTCAACTCGTGTCTTTTCATCGAGGATGCTCTCGTCCATCGATGAACGACTGAGAACTCTCTCGTTCTCAGTAAACACTGTTGCTGACCTTATGTCGGCTACGCACTCGTCCTCAGCGACGAGTACGCAGATCTACTTGACTTTGACACTACGCAGATCACGCAAGAACCTTTTATGTTCGAGCGTTGGCAACTGAGTAATCTCCGAAGTCAACTTCGGAGGCGCAATTAGATCAAGTGCATAAGCGCCTACACTTGATCCGTTATTGACTATGACATTCAATGTCTCTGTCATTTCCTGGGGACTTATTCCCTCAGGCTTCGAACGACTTATTCCTTCGGCTTCCCGGGGATTTATTCCCGCGGGTTTCGGGGAACTTATTTCCGCCGTATTTGTAATATTGGGAATTATTCCCTTTACTTCCTCTAGCTGGGGTTGCGCAACCTCAGCGAGATCCTCTACGAAAGACTCCCCAGTCGATCTAGGATTATCGTTTCGCTTAACCTGAGCGATCGATTGTTTCTCTTCTAGATGTTCCCCTCTAGGGATACATCTTTGTCCCAGTCCACCCGACTTATTCGAGTGGTGGACCTTCGGCGCAGCCTGTGTTTCCTCACAGCCGCCGGAACTTTGCTCCGAAGTGTAACCGTTTGTTACACTAAGGTTTTGTGCAGTCGTACTAACGACCGTACCACAAGTGAGGCCATCGCACTCACTCGTAGTACATCCACACGCTTGTGGACGCTCCAAAACGTTCATCAGATGGCCATCTGATGAACAAGCGGCAGGCATCGTTACTGTTCGATGTTGCCAGTTTACCCGTGGTTTGTACCTTCTGAGCCACGGTATTCCAAGGATGACATCAAATTTGTCATCCAAATCCAATATGATAAAGTCATCGTCATATTGGGTATCTTCTAGCGTTTATTGGATCTTCACTATACGCTTCATGACGGTTACGGATGCGCCTGTCGCAAGACGTACCGTCATCCTCGTAGGAGGTGTGTCACATTCACTAAACTTAAAGTGACCATCTTCTAGCGATTGGCGTCGCACAAAATTGTTAGACGCCCCACAATCGACTAGAGCTCGAAGGGACAACTTATTCGTCACTTCGAGTTTCAAGGTAATGAGTGAGATCTCATTACCTAGAGCAGCAACGCACAACGTTTGTGTGTTGGGAGCAACCTTCATCAAGAGGCCTACAAATTCTCTTGACGTTGCTGGACCAGTAGGGTGCTCCGCACCTACTGATCCTGTCCGTTTTTTTGACGGTCCATCCCGTTGTTGCGTCTTTGCACCAACAGCGGACCCGCGTCCCTGCCCCTTTCTCATGGGTGGACGGTCACTACGCCCAGTGTTGCGAGACACTGGACGAGGGGCACTACACTCGTAAGCGTAGTGTCCTGTCTTCTGACATCTGTTGCATTTCTGCAACTTCTTGTAGTCTGTAGAGCGAGCCTTCTCGCTCTCTACATAACAGAGTTCCATCGGCTCTGGACCTCCGCTGTCATATCGTCTCGGTTGACGATATGATGTCGAGCTGGCGCGAGCCTGTCTCAGACTGAAGTCTTCCTGATCCACAATGGAAATTGCTTGTTCTAGTGAATCTAGTTCAAGTCGGAACAGGTGAGTCTTGACGGGACCATCCGCAAGACCCTGCATGAACACCGAAACCAACGTGTCTTCATCAACCAGGTTGGAACTTATACAACTCGTGAGATGTCGTATATGTTGCGCGTAAGCGTGCACATCACGCTTACCCTGCTTGAGCTTCAAGAGTTCGGTTCGAGCTCTGAACTCAGCTCTAGGCGGTTCAAACGTTTGTCTGAGCCGCGACTTGAAGACTTCCAACGACCCGAACGCATATGGGTCGTGCAACTTGAGCCCCAGTGCCCAAGTCTTGGCACGTCCTGCCAGATTTGGATGGGCGAATGCAACTTGCATATCCCCGTCGTCGATGCGACGCGCCCTTATGGCGTCGTCTAATTCGATGAACCATCTCAAAAGGGGGTACTATTCGACTCCCCTACACTTGGAGATGTCAATCTTCAAGGTCTCGGGTCGACGCGAGTGCATCGACCCACCAGCAGCAGCCTGCTGCTGTCTCAACAGTTCAAACTGTTGAGCACCCTGTTCTCTCAACAACTCTGCTTGTTGAGAACCTTGTTGGTGAAGCAAGGCTACTTTCTCGCGTTCAGCGTCAAGTTCATTTTGAATGAACTTGGCGATAGTAGCATGTTGGGCATCTTTATTGAGAGCCTCTAGCATGACGCTAACACCATGGATGCCCATGGTTGAACCCATCCGTTACACCGCATCCCATTTGACAATGGGAGTAGCCGTCACGCGTAGCGTGAAAGCTTTGGCCATCTTCATCATCCAACATGTTCATGTTGGATGTGAACGTGGTCCTTGGACGGACTACGAAGTGCTACCAGGTGTAACGGGGCAACCTGAAGCTTGTACTGATGACAGTACAAGCTACTTATTCTGATGACAGAATAAGGCGGTGCCTCGGAACTTCACGTACACTCGTACGTGCAGAGGAAGACGGTAGGAAGAAGTGAGTACTTGGTTAAAGTAAAAAAGTAGGACTGCATTTATCATAGTTAATGTCTGTTTCAGATAATAACTCTTATAGTTATATTCTATTAACAATTTCTTATAAATTGTTATGTAACGATTCACCCCGTTACAAACACCGTCTGCGTTAATGCACTTCCTGCTCCTTTAAACCATCAAAACGGCTGTTTCTTCAACGCCCTCAGGACGTGTTTGTTCGCGATTGAGTCCTAAACACTCCATGGAAAAACGTGCAGAAACGGATGCGCATAAAAGACAATGCCCCGCGTTGCCGCGTTTTAACGGAGCGCCTGACATTCGGTCGATGTCTGCCGATCCTCGATGTTGTCTTCGGCAATATCCCAATGGACATTATCGCTCTACTGCTCTAGCAGAATATAGTTTCGCTGTTCAATACTCGTATTGGCTAGGACGCCCTGAATTTGATCTGGCGAAAGAAACGTCCAGTCATAGGCCCTCACGAGGTCGGGTGGGTTCCTCCAGCGCAGGTTCGGACGCACTTGCAGACCGCCTTCTATTTCCATAGCTGGTGCACTCAACAGTATCGCTAAAGCGTAACGCCTTAGTTTGGCCTATTGATGCATTCCCAGTTCAGCTGCTGGTATGATGAAAGAGTATGTCTGGACCCCAGTCCGTTGCAGCGCCAGCCCCGCTATGCTGCATGGCAGAATTTTGGCATACTTTCGAGCGGACAAAGAATCGCCCCGGTGGTCCGTACTCCACGGATTATCCTTCCATGAGTACGTGGTCCAGAACGATATCTGTTCCCGTTTTATGGCCCGGGAGCAGCAAGGCAATGGCCGTGGAAGCTCCAGCACCCATTCCTCCGGCGTAGTCCAACTGATTGATGTGGATGCTAGGTTCTCCAACTCAGTTCTGTACCGCTGCTGCCGTTCAACTGGATCCGGCAGACTAGGGGACAGCCACGGCCCGAAAAGCAGCTGCACATTAGTACTGGGTGTTTGCCGGGACCGAGATGACTGTCGTTTTCGTTCGGTGAGTGGCGACACCCCCTCTGCACAAGGCCTCGTAGGGCCCTAAACCATCAATGCCTGCCAAGCCTAAAAATATATGTTCTTGCGTTGTGTAAGCCATAGGATGACCTGTTTCACCCGCTGTGTCTTGCACGCTATCAGTATTGATGCCAGCCCGACCCCACCCGCTTGTTGAGGTGTATGCAACAGCGTTGGAGCAATCTTGTGGCGAGAAGCGTCAGCACTGGTTGATCATTTCCACAGAAATTGCTTCTGGAAATTCCTGAGATGGAGTTCTGCCCAGGGTGGAAGCTCGAAGACCGCCGCCGTGAACAAGATCGACGGTAATATGATGACGTTCAAAATTAACACCCGAAGGGAAGCACTGGTGGCGAGTTGAGACGCGGTGGCCAGGCGACGCTGCACGTTACGAATTCGCGCTGCCCAGTTTGTGTCCGTGACCTCACCAGTCCCAACATAGTAGCCTAGGTAACGCGTCGTATCTCCGTGCTGGAGCACCGGGATACCGTAGAACGCCGTCGATTGGACCGTTAAATTAAGAAAAATGATCTTTCTTTTGCGCAGTTGCACCTGAAAGCCCGAAAGCTTGCCAAACTGCTCCACGATCCGTAGCACTGCCGGAAGTTGAGCTGCCTCATGTAGGAAGACATTTGTATCATCGACGAAGGCAGAGACTTTGTGTTTGGCACCATCTCCGTCGGGCACCTCTATGTCGGTGATCTGCTCATGAACTTCCGCCGCAATTGTAAATTTAAAAGGCGCAAGTGGACATCCTTGGCGAATACCAGAAATCAACTTTTGAGGATTCGAAAGCTCCCCGTTCACAAGGAAGTGGGCCGTGGTATCCAGTACGAATGTTCCTGATCATTGTAGTAAATACCGGCGATACCCAAACCTCGTAAGTGTCACGAGTATGAAATCTCGGGCAACCGTATCGTAGGCCTTTCTGAAGTCCAACAAGAGAATGGCTTCGCTACTCATCACCGGCACCTCGGGCTTATCCGAAGCTGTAGTGAGGACGCCCATCATCAGCATAGCGGTCTTTTGCACCTGCCTCCCCTAAATAAAGCTTTGCTGCGAATCACCAATTAATTTTCAAAAAAAGCGTTGCACGCGTGTGGCGATAACTTTGGTGAAGATCTTGTACCCAGATTGTAGGAGAGCAATCGGCCTGTAGTCCATCGCATTCTGCGAGTCGCCCTGTTTGCGCAAAGAGATAATCAGCGTTTCTAAAAAGGACGGAGGAGGTTGACCGCCCCGAAGTAGCTCGTTACCAATGGCGACCCTAGCAGGAGCCATGACCGCCTAAGTGTTCTTGAAAAAATCGTTAATAAGTCCATCTATCCCCGCTGCTTTGTGCCGGTTAAGGCCCTCAATGGCAGTGATCACTTCGGTCAAGCTGATAGACTTCATTAGTATGCCATTGTCGAAGGCCGAGACACAGCGAGTGGCAGGAACTTGAACAAATGCATCAAAAGCAGCCTCCGGTTGCGGCCGCTGTAGTTGATGGTGCACGACTCCCAGTATAGGCTGCCATTCCGAAGCAACCGTTCAGCTGTCGTCATCGTGCGTGTAAACGCTGCTCCATTGATGTGACGAATATGGTAAAATCTGTCCTTCTCAAAGATAGACACACGCTTAAAATTCCTCCGAAGTTGATCCATGGTCCGCGTAAGACGGTTGCCTAACCGGACCAAATGCTCCTCCCGAGACTCCTCCACTGTGACGTCTATCAGCGCTTTGCGCGTCAGAATATGCGCTCGGCTTTGTGCCTGGACCCGGCGCACAACTGAATTACACCTCTGGCGTACACGTTTGTTGAGCCGCTTTATACATTAAAGGTACGCTCCAGCGGTATCTTCCCAAGTCGAACTCGTCGCACCGTGCCCCACCCCTTCTTCTATCAGGATGGCTAGTAACTCAGCTACAACACGGACTGGCTGCGCCGACCGGATGGGGTAAGTAACCGGACGGTGCTTCTGCCGGGCAACGTGAATAACGGCCTTGTCGTCGAAGTGCAACCGCACCCGTTGATGGTCCGAATGGACTTGAGGTTCGTCGACCGAAACCCATTATACCACTGACGATCAGTCTTAAGGCACTTAAAAACGATCGATCCGACTCGCCACATCCGGACCCCAGTATGTGAAAAAATAGAGAAGGTCATGTTCCTCCCCATTGCCTTCGACGTCCTCACTAAGAATACTAGCGTCCACAAGATGTGAGTTCTCCACAAGAGTCTGAAGCGCTACGCTTTGGGGATGCCCCGCCCGTGTCCCACAGAGCCTGTCAAGCGTCGGACTCTGAACACGATTAAAATCTCCCGTTAGAATCGTGGCTTGCTGTGACCAAGGCCAGCTCTGTAATTCAGTGAAAAAAACATTCGCGATCGGATTGTTTGTTAGGCGCGTAAACATTCACCAACCGAAAATTTCCACAATCAACGGCAACGACCCGATCTGACCAACAAGAAATGTTCCAAGCGGCTGTTGACTCGGCTATAGAAGGGTGAAGTAAAATTGCCACACCAGCCAATCGTCGTTCACTGATACTCCAAAACGACCACGCGGGGTCACCGGGTATAGAAGGTTGCCCCCATGACCTGGCCCAGGTAGAAATCAGGTAGTCGACCTCTCTCTGGTTGCAGACACGAGTCTCCTGCAGCATCCAAGCCAGCGGTCGGTCCGCTACCGGCGTCCGTCTCCAGGCAGCAAGCCATCTATCTCGGGTCTTGTCTCAGAATCCCCTGACGTTCTGAGATTCAATTCGTCTAGCTCCCTGTAACCGTTGAGAGCTCCGGTCAAACTGCTCCGAACGGTTCTTCCGCCGGAGATAGATGTGACGGCCGTAAGCATCCTTAGGACCGCGACCGCTCCCTCCGAGTAGAGCTCCAGTTCCTAAGGCATGACTGCCCTTAGTAATGATGGACGCTCTCCTCCGCTCCGTGCTCTATAGCACCGGCGAAAAAGCTAGCGAGTTTAACCCACTCCTCATTGTGCGATTTAGTAGCGTACGCTTCACGATACCGCCCCACTGTTCTAAGAGCCTGAAGGTGACGGTCTAGACGGTGCACAGCCCCGTTATCCGTACAATCGTCTTGACTAAGTAAAGCTCGTATTTATTTCTCGTGCAGTCCGGCGCAAATAATATGCTTGCCTAAGCGACTTTTGTAGTTCACGTCACATAATTCAAGATCGGGTCGTGGCCATAATCATTAGCGTGGAGGCGTATCCAGTCGTCGCGGCTGTCGGTAATAGCCGGCAAATTATATGGGGCTGGCCTTGTGAACTTGACTCCCCATGCATCCAACCACTGGCGCGTCACAGGATGCGTTGTCCTTAAGCGATAGGAAATCAAGCGTGCTTGGACACAGCTACGTCTCCAGGCGGCTGTCCAGCTCTCAAAAACTGGTCGTCGATAGCTTGGAGGATCTCCTCAGGATAGGGGAAGCTTTGCAGTAAGGAAAGTAGCACCCGCGGCTCCCGCTGCAATACCTGAACCGACTCGTCTGTGCTACTGTGCATGTGAAGAAATGCGACCGTAGCCGAAACCGGCCAAGCGTCCCCATGTTTACAACTCATATTCCGGCCAGGTCGCTCTTGGGGCCATGAGATCCGCTGACCCGATGCTGTGTGGGAAGTCTTGCATAACAGCCTCCCGATCTTAAACATCTCCCGTTAGCTTAGGCCGCATAATTTGTCGAGTTTGTTCTTCTTCGGCAAAAGTAGTCGAGTGCGCCCTCTTTTGAGCTATCGGTTGCTCATAGGAGTCCCAAGAAGAGGGAAGCAACGCCAGTTGAGACCCGTTGGAGCTTGGATGACCAATCGACGATGGGTCGATAGTGACCTCTGTGGAAAGTGGGTACTCTGTAGACTGCATAACGACGTCCTTGCCCCCCGAATGTTGCGACTCCGTGGGGTCCTTTTTAGTCTCGTCAAGAAAAGAGCACGAATCAAAACTTGGAGACCCGGTATCAACGTAAGCCGAGCAATGATCTCCCAGAATCTCAAAACAAGAGGTAGGTTCTTGTCTGTAGATTTAGCTACTGCGATCGCGTGCGCGCACTGGCTAATCCTCTAATGGTACGTGTTGTCCGGTCTCGAAAATGTTGGCTCCCATTGTATTCGTGCTAGGACGGTACAGGGAGCAGGCCCAGGAATTGAGGTCATCCGTTTTGTGTGCGAGTACAAGTATCTGACGCTGCAGAAAGTTTACCGCTATCGATAAAGTCTCGCAACTTCTTTAATTATGCTTCTCAACTATTGCTATCCGGGTTGATGGTGTCGCAGGGTATTCATATAGGTACCACTAAAATTGTTATACGTAACTCCTACCGTCCATTCCTTCCCAGCCCCGCGACACATTGGCCAACGTCCCCGTGCGGTCAGAGTGGGTAAATTGTTCGTCAAAATTTAGTAAAAACCCGTCCAACAGACGACACGCTTAATACAAGCGGTACTGTTCTCCAGTATAGTGTCTTGGGCAACCAAATCATGATCTGCCACCGCTTGCTCAATCGCCATCGCCAGACAATATCCTGTAGCGGGGGTTATGACTAGTCTTTGACCAAGGGCCCGTTCAATAGCGGGTAAATCGTGGATATCGTGTTCCACAAAACTCTCCACCGGTAGCAAGAGCCCCATGCCAAGATAACAATATGCCAATACCTTGCGTAGCGTAGCTCGTTCACGCTGCTTGAGCGTAACAAGCTGAGATGTCGGTCGCCGGCTAGGTAGTTTCGATGAAAGGACATGCAACGATTTCTTCTCGGCCGCCAAAGTCTACGGGACCTCGACCGGCTTGGTAAAGGTCTCAGCCGTGAGGGGTTACCGTGTCCTCGACCGGTAAAGTGGGTGTTCCGGTCGGTAGACTAACGTCTGTGTCTTCAGGCCACTCATCGAGACCTGCGTAAAACGATGATGCCACTGTATTACGCGTTGCAGGTGTCTTCGTACGGGGTTGGAGCTTCTTACCCCTACGGATAGGGACTGTCACCCATTTCCTCGTGGGCACTGGTGCAGTCTCACGGACATCCGAGGGAGTCTGTGAAGTGCCAGCGCTAGGTATCGTGGTCTCGGGTGTAGTGGGTTTACCTGACACGGACGAGGTAGGTTCCACGGACGCCTGCCTACTTTTGTCCTGGTCCTGCTGTAGTTTCAACCTGGTCGCAGCCGCCTCTTTAAGTTCATCCAAACTGCTGAATGGCGTGGCCAAATCCTCTAGACCGGAAATTTCGCGGTCAGTTGCAAGCCTGCTGCCGATTCCGGACAGTAGTTCCGCCGTATACGAACATCTCGCCATGGTGTGACCCAATTCCCCACAATAGAGACATTGTAGACGAAGCCCAACATCTGGGTGCTTAAGTGTGATTGGTCCGCCAAACTAAATAAGGCGTCCGATTCCGCGCAAAAATACAGGACAGCCAGCCATCCTGACTGTCAATCGCCACACAGTAGAAGTTCGGGAATTGGGTGTACACGTATCCATATCCTCCAAATCAAAGTCTGCAGCAATATGCTCTTGAATAATAGCAGTCAGCCGGCCAATATCCGTGAAGCGGGTGACGTTATGTAGCTCCACTGCATATCCCCGCTCAGTAGCCAGACGCGTTCCATCACGGCTGAGTTGACGGGTCCGAACCGACCCCTTGGACAGAAGATGCATGTTGGTCACACGGTATACCTCGTTCCGAAACGGTACGGATACCAACTCAAAATTCCGTGCTGTGACACGGTCAAAAAAAGAAGAGATTGCAGCGTTGAAGGGGATTGTAGCTTATCGTCTTAGAAACATTAAGAACACGCCGAAGAACCTCCTGGTCCACTCGCAATCGTTCCGCAGCCAACAATATGTCTTCCTTGATAGCACTTGTGGTCTGTCGACACAGACGAATGTTTGTCCCGCTACGCAGGTGCAACACGAGTTCACCCTCCACCTGAGCCCGAAAAGTTTGGGCAAGTCGGACGCGTTCCTTCGAATCCAGAACGCTACTTAGAAACACCGGCAGTCGCCTGCATACGATGCTTCCCTCCGCTAGCCCGCTGATAGTCCTCCACTCATCTAGTGTGCCGTCACGAAGCTGGACACCGCTCTTGGAGGTTGCTGGCTGCAGACACAGCGCCCGTTAAGTCCCAATGTCCTGCGATTTGTAGACCGCCGGATTGATCATGACGACTTTGTAAGTGTCACGGTGATCTTGGAGGCGTTCCCCTCCCTCTGTGGCTCCACGGTCCGCCTTGGAGGACGTTGCCCACTGATTCATCGGCTTCAGCCTAGCCTATTTGACCTTGCTGGTCGTGCTCTGCACAATAGGTCGGAAGGTCCATTTTTGTTGTTAAGTGTTTGGGTCACTTTTATGGCGTATGATGCCCATGCCGCATACGTGGCATCACAGCTAACACACGCGACCTCGAAGAACTGAAGAAGGGTGACTTTTTCTTCACGTCGAAATCTTGGGAAACGCTTGCATCCCGAAGGGACTAGCTCCTCATCAATTTTGACGGAGTCGTGGACTATCGTGAATAGCGCGGCTAGCGTCGTAATATATTCGTCACGTGGAGGGTCATTTATCGCCATTTGTCGAGCCTCTAACAAGCCACGTATATGTCTTGCGGCCCGGACGACTGAGGGCGATCCGTCCGGAGACCCAGCAGGCGTCGTAGTGTCAAGCGACGGGTCGCCAGAGACAGCCGGTGAACTGGATTCCGGCTTGGAATTTAGCGACGGTTGGGTAGGGACCGGCTCCATTTTGAGTCCCTGCTTAGCCTTAAGCGACGGTTGACAGGGATCAGGCATCGAATCGGTAGAGACGCTCTCAGGAACGGCTGTGTCGCCGAGCGTTGCAGACGAGGCAGACGAGAGTCTCGCGTTATATCCCTCCGAAAGGACAGCGCGCTGATCCGCCTTCCCCTACTGGGCAGCGACCCTTCCCTCGGAGAGTGGCCCTCCGGCTCCTGGGGTCGACGATCGCCGACCTCTTCGTCGGGCGTTACGCTGTCATGCGGCGGCAGTTCCCCCGTGACGGGGTCCGCCGATCCACGCATGGGGCGTGGAGGACTGAAGAGGCCGGGCTCAGGCTGAGAAGCGTGAGGCAGGTTTGTGTACAAGGAGTACTTTCAAACCTGGCAGCTGGTACGGGGCTGACAGGCGGTGCGCAAAGAGTTGCAAATTTGAAAGTGTGCACTATAATGGTGCAGTTCTTAGAGCTCAATATAACGGAGTGAGCCTGTTACATGTAATTAGCTTTGATACTTGTTATTGAAAATCTTATCATAAAGGTTGATAATGTTCGTGAACGTTACCATAAGGGGTAATATTCAGAGACACTCACCGATTGGCTGATATGGTCCATTATATTAGCCAGCTCTAGCGGTCCAATTACGATGGACGCGAGCAATGAGTGGCGAGCAAGACTTAAGCATGCACTTTTTGTAAAAATATAACTAAGCTAGGGCTAACTTTAGGCACATGTAATGTGGACTTTATTAAATTTGAGTCGCTTTGCTTCTAGTCCTATTGAACGCTTCGTTTACCAGCTAGCCTTCCACTCCACGTTCAGTGTACATGAAGTGATGCGCGGCACTACCTACACTGTTGTCAGTGTAGGTGCACTATTACTGAAGCGATAATATCGACCAGTGCCCCGTTACATTGCGACACACCGAATGCTGTAAAAAAAAACTCCAGGAATCAATCCTGAAACTGCGCTATAACTATCGCGGCATCAATGTTGTCAACAAAAAATTAGTGCTGGAAATGGTAATATCTTCAAGGTCTATACACATTTAAGTTGAAGGCGTGGCTTTTCAGTTGCATTACAGTAAAAACGACTCGGTGGTGGGTGTCAACGTTTCAACAATATTTGGCATTTTACAACCAAGCATATGGATGTGGCATTCACCAAACTTGACGACTAGCACAGTAGATTCGACGGTCAGTGGACAGCAGCAGTTAAAATTTGCATTTACGTCATGTAGGCTTGCAAAAAACCATGCGATGTATCGGGGTCACGACCTGGTACTTTGTTGATTCTTACTCGTGGTACAAATTGCCAGCCCCACTACTATTTTACAGGTTTTGTGAACCCAGTTCGCATCTTGAGCGGAAATCAACATATCATGTCATTTACTGCGGGTTAAATTAAGGAAGTAGATGTTGTCGTTTAAGTAGCTAGCGTAATGAACTCTAGACAAGCTTGAAAACGTGCATCGACATAAATAAACGCGACATGAATAGCAACTTTATGATCCGACATTACCATGTAAGCTACAGTTGCACGAATTCAACATAGATATTATGATGGCTTGCTATTCACATTTTCCATTCCCCTAAGAAATGAATATGGCTAAGTGTACCTTCAGTAGATTTAGCCATTTTCAGTTTACGTTTAACTAGACTTTCTTCCTTATTAGGTGAAATTAATTTATTTAATTATTCATGATAAAGAGAGCTCCAGGTTTAAGTTTTCATGTATTACCTTTATTTGCATAGTCTAATATAATTACAGCTTTCTATTGGTATTAACTTTACACGTATCAGCTGGTGCAATCACTGTGTTTTTAACTGATCAAAGATAAAAAAAATTTGTGAGCCATTAGGTGGGGGAGATCTTGTTTTATATCAGCCCATATTTTGGTTTTTTGGTCATTCTAAAGTTTAGCTTTACATTTTAACAGCTTCTAATTTCACAAGTCAAGTTTCTGCAGCTTTTGCAAATTAACTTTTTGGTTATTAGGTATGATTTATGCAATGTTATCTATTGATATATCAGGTTCAATTGTATGGGCACATCATATGTTTACTGTTGGTTTAGATGTAGATGTTCGCGCTTATTTTTCTGCCGCTACAATTTTTATTGCAGAACCAACAGAGATATATATTTAGATTTGTTTAGCAACTTTTTGATGAGGTTCTTTAATGTTTGACACTCCTTTATTATTTGATTTAGGTTTTTTTTATTATTTGTTATGGGTAGAGTGATTGGTGTAGTCATGTCGAATTCTGGTTAAAATATTGCATTTCATGATTTTTATGATGTAGGGCATTATCGTTATAACTATAAATAGGTGCCTTTTTGGCATATCCACGGGATTTTATAACTGGATTGAAAAAATATCGGGCCGCAGGTATCCTGAAATTTTAGTTTAAATTTCTTTAATTATTTTTACTTCCATCAACTTTCTTTTTTTCGAATGCATTATTTACGTGGAACATTTAAGTCGAAAAAGAAATTATTCCGCAAAACCCGAATCCGAATGATATTCTAATCGTTTCACTTTCTGCAATTTTTGGAAGCAGCAGATCAAAGGTTCAAATTCGTTTTTCATATTAATTTTTCAATTATTATTATAAAGGTAACCTCTCATTTTACGAACATCCTGTTCATCTCTCATATGCTATTTTTTACCACCTTTTATATAAAGCTCGTACTTCTAAAATAATAGGAGAATTTATTTTGTTGCATTCACATCAAAAAATTAGATTGTGCATTTTTTGACATTTACTTGTTTATTCCTTAATTTCAGTTCTGTAATCGCGAGATCGATATAATGGGTATGTACAGCGCCAAGAAGAAGACTACATCCAACGCACTGTACAAATTACTTCACAGACGTGGCAGCGGCTACCGGTCCGTGTTCCTAAATGATTGAGTCCACCTATCGTGGATAAATGTGCCAATTGATGGTAAAAGAATCAATGCTAATGAAGCTTCTCAACATTTTAAGATTCATTGCCATAGCGTACAGTTGATGGTCAAATGAGAATAATAATGTTGTAAGACATACATCCAAAAACCAATTTAGAACTACATCGATTCTAAAAAGTCGAAGACGTGTAGTACAAAACAGCACGCTGGCGAATTCTAAGTGCAAAACAAATGCCGAAACAAGCACCCGAGACTAAAATTCGCAGGCCGATTATGCCAAAGTTTAAACCTGGTCATCTGTAAAGCATCAACTCGCCACTTGACCACGTGCTACAGTCACCCACAGACGTATTTAATTGTCGCACATGACCTTTTGTGGGCGTTCGATAAAGAGGTGGTCTCTTCATCAGAAAGTTACGCCACGGCACAAAATCGTCCCTGGTATATCTGGTGAGCACCAGTTTAAATTTGTGGCATTCTGCGCGCACGAATATATTAGCGCTAATGAGTAGGCATCAGACTCTGCGCTTGGTTAGGGAGAGGCTTAAAGGCAGGAATGATAGACAAGCTAGCAGATAATGTAGCAGCTACCACACAAATCGCTAAAGTTTACGTTTCTGATGTTTCATGCACGTTGATCGACCAAAGATGGTCAGCAATTGAGGCTGCTGTAAGACTAAAAATGTATGTTTGATTCATCTATCTCTGCCATACTCTCCGCTCATCAAGTCCTGATAGTGTTTTACCTGTTACTGAATAGACGTTAACAACACTGAGCAATTGTGACCAAGTGCATATAGATATTCTTTTACTGTATTGTAAAGACCAGTGTTTACGTCTTTTTATCGTTGATTTCCTTGACTAATAATTAGTTTGCGATATGAATTACCAGAACCATTTATTGGATATAAGATGCATGGAGGAGACTGTCATCTTATCGTAAGACCTCTCCGCTGTATGGCAAATGACCGACAGGGTTAGAGTAGACTGAGATAGAAAATTAGGCTCGAATGTATAAAATGAAGCCAAATAAGTGGATATATACGCAGAGACAAATACGGCTGATGTTTGGAAGGACCATAACGTGGAAACAGGGATTTGGTGGGGACGCAAATAGCGACGAGGTTTACAAAATCAACAACAACGACGCCCAAGATGACGCTTGCAATTAGGACAAAAAAGACAAAACCAAAATTAACGACGCCTGCAATCACAAGTATATCGAATATGACGACGGACAGGATGACGTCAGCCTTTTGAAACACCTAAACGTTAACTTAAAACAACGAATACCGCGAATAAACGACCATGATCATAGTTAATTCAACAAATCCTTTGTTCCGTTGCATTTGTTTTTGTCGTTATATGATGTTCGTCGCAGCCACAGCAGTGGCGACAACAATAAAAACGCGTTGTCGTCACACGGCGTGGGAACAAAAATAACGTGCGTCACAAGTCGACCTACCTGTCGTCTTGCTGCAATGAAGGGTCTTTAAAGTGCTCATAATCGTGGTTAACCTTTCTAAGGTGCACATTAATCTTCCACGTCTTGTTGAACAGATCTCATAGATCGGTAGGAACTACCACAGCACATGCAGTCGAATAATTTACGTTTCCATCATCTTCTGTGACGGTGCCAGAATCATGAGGTGCTGCTGTGATGTGGCTGTGAAATGCACGTTTTTTTTAGAATTGGGCTGCACTGACACGTACGCATCGGATTCAGTGCTAAAATCGATGGCTTCCTTAGCTTGTTGATCGTCTTCTCCGTTTAATAAAAATTCATGCCGTCCTTTTTGCTTTACAAAGAACCTTTATTTTCTACGACTTTAACTGCTAACCGAACAAATTTAGCTATCCTTGGCTTAGCAATCCCATCTCGTCGTCGCGGATTTGCAACGGTGCATCCAGAGTACAGCTTAAATCGCAAGCAGCTTTGCACATCTGTACGTACCCCTTCATGCTACTGCTTCGTATGCTCAACGTAATAATTGAGTCTTCACGATATTAAGACCCACTTCGAGCTTGACGCTTGACTCAAGATGTTCTTCCACATAAACCGAGCGTGTCTTTACAACGATTCATTGTTGATACAAATTGCAAACTTCTTTTCAAATTGTGACCGTGTCAAACGAGCAAGTGACACTACGTTCCATAGACAGACCATCCCGGTCAGCACAATCACAATCTTTGTCTGCACCACTATACACGTCTAGATCTTCTCTAAGCAGCTGCGTTACTGATGCAGACTCTAGTGCCGTTTTCATAAAATGATTGCTCAACTTGGTTCGGCAGGTTGATTGATGAGCGAATACACTCTGCTCTTACTCTTTTAAAGCCCGTGGATGTACCACTGTCGAGTCGATGCATTTCTGGATAAGGCTTTGTGAGTTTAAC